TATATATATATATATATCGTCGTTGAACCGTCGACCCAATTTTTGTGTTTACGACTACTAATGTTCAACTCCATAGCCTTGGAATTTTGAACCAATCCAGAAGGCAAGGAAACTCCTGGATCAGTACCCCCAGAGGTATTGATTAGTAATGGGAACATGGAGGACTTTACGACTCGACAGATTTAACGTGCATCAGTCACCATTTACTACACGGGGATCGAACCCACGAACTCTTGGACATGAGCCCAGATTAAAGAAGTTTGAAAGATGGAGTTAAATGCCGTGCCCATTTTCGTAAACGTGCATTTCAAGCTGTGTCAACTTTTGTAAGCATACATTTTGAGTACGCTATACCACAGGAGAAACTTTGCGTCACCAATTCTCTTTTATCTCCATTACTAATTTACAGTATAAAAAAAGTGAATTCAGACAAGCCTAGAGTAATCCATGAAGTTTCAAATAATGAAAATAAATTTTTAAATCAAGAAAATGAAAATAAATTATGGGAAGATTACTTAGGATTAGGCAATGTAGAAGTTCTCTTTGATTAATTTGCATGTATTGTGGCATTTAAAAAAAAAAAAAAAAAAAATTCGCTTNAAAAAAAAAAAAAAAAAAAAAAAAAAAAAAAAAAAACAATTGGTAATTTCAACTTTGTGGCTTACTCTAGATTTGTTTGAGCACACTATATTTTGTTGTTGTTTCAAATTTTAAATTAGATTAAATTTTAAATTAGCATTCAAATCGGTGCAGATTTAACTGTTTCATCTATGATGTTTTATCGTTGTTCAATGATTGGAAAATCGCCAAGTGCCAAATTAGCAAATTATGATTAATATGTATGTTATGAAATCCGGTTTATTCCCGGGAATAAACCGGGCTTTTTGGGAAGGAAATTTTGAAATTTGTTGGTTTTTCGTTCCTATGAGATTAATTCTCATTCAAAGCAATGCATAAGAAAGATATTTAAGAAAATTTCAGGTAAAAAAGTGAATTTATGTGGGAAATGCAGATAAAATAAAATATAAATTTCAAACAGTAGATATATTTATTTAAATTTCTTCTATAGAAAAATAGCACAACTTAGAAAATTTAAAATCATAATAAGTCATTAGTAAATTCTTCATACAATGTTTACATACCTTATTATATTGTGCGCCATAATGGTTGTTATAGTTGTCGAGATTGCAGAATAGTGCAACGAGCTCTCTGCGCTAACCTATAGCCCTGTGTTTCTATTACTGAAGCGCCGCAGTGGACTGATCGTTAAGACACGGTTCCCAGCAGATCACCAAGGACAAGCATCACCGGCTGCGGTCAGTGTGCGGGTGGGTGACCACTTGGGTCAGTCTGCGTAGGGACCGAGGGTGTGCGGTATTGGTTCTCGTTAAATTGTTCTACCGTAAAGTGCTCGACCTCGCGTGCAGGTCGTCGGGCTACCGAAGCGGACATGCCATCCCCTCTGCAAAGGATCAAAATTGTGATGGCATGTCTTTGTATCATCCTATGGGATGTTTCCCAGACCGTCGCCAATAGCCCATTGTGCAGCTCTAGTGCGATGTAAATAAACAACAACAACAGCACAAACTAAAGAAAGGCAGCAAAAAGATACGACCAGGATTACGGCGAGATTCGAACCCGCCACCTCCACACTTCCTTTCAGTCTAAGAAGCCCCAAATAACTTCTAACCGATTTATGATGCTACGAAAACTTCCGAAATGTCCAGGGTGTTGTTGTTGTTGTTGATTTACGTCGCACTAGAGCTGCACAATGGGCTATTGGCGACGGTCTGGGAAACATCCCTGAGGATGATCCGAAGACATGCCATCACAATTTTGATCCTCTGCAGAGGGGATGGCACCCCCGCTTCGGTAGCCCAACGACCTGCGCGCGAAGTCGAGCACTTTACGGTAGCACAGTTTAACGAGGACCAATACCGCACACCCTCGGCCCCTACGCAGACTGATCCAAGTGGGTCACCCACCCGCACACTGACCGCAGCCAGTGATGCTTGACTTCGGTGATCTGATGAGAACCGTGTCTTAACGATCAGTCCACTGCGGGACTCCAGGGTGTCAGAGAAATTAAGTCTTGAATTATCACAAAGAAAGTCACTGGCTCGAGCCCCGAACAACTGAGAAAACTCATTATTTACAAGCAAGCATCATGCATGCACTAAACCAGTGTTTCCCAACCTTTTTATCACCGCAGACCTGTCAACTTTTGATAATTTTACCGTGGCCCGCTGTGGGGGGGGGGGGGGTTGATTTATTAATTTTAATTTAATTGTATTTAATCATGCCTTCAAAATAAAATACAGTTACACAAAATATAAAGTGATTTAACATTTTAACTTGCTAGAACGTTAAATCAATGCGAACCCTGAGCTTGTTTCTTTGTAATGAGACGGTTCCATCTGGGGGTATTCGGAGACAATGACACCCGAATTGTGTTGTTTATGTCCAGTTAATTCCGTTGCTTTGTTTTGGTTGCTGTTACTGCAGAAAACCACGCTTCACACAGATAGGTTGTCAGAAATGCCAATAGGGATTTAAGTTCTGTGGTGGCAATCTTGGGGTATTCTGATGCTAGATTAGCCCGATTTGTTGACAAATGGATCGCAGATTTATTCCTTACCAGTTTGTGGGTCTTTTGTTTTTGGAAAGTAGCGCTCGAAATCTTTTAAAAGCAAGGACAGGTGATCGTGCACCAACTGGGAGAGTGAATGTTCAGGCTCAGCGGCCCAGTATCATTTGATCCACGGACCGGGGGTTGGGGAACACTGCACTAAACCGAAGTAGGACAATTTCAATAGATTTTAAATTCAATTTGGTGAAACCAGAGTTTCTGAGGAAACTACGATCGAGAACTTCAACTGAAAAGGATAGAAGTTCGTGATTCGAAATCATTAGAAAAGATTTTAGCACAAGCTAATGGCATGCAATCGCTTAGCTAATGTGAAGTTCCTACTTCAATTGAAATACTGTATTTGCTTGTAAACATTTCCGTTACTACAGAGCATGAACTTTCGAACTTTTCTGTCGCAATCCGGGACTATTGCCTATCGGTTAACCCAGTCTTTAAGATTTAAATTTATTTATTCACGCATGCACATTTAAGCTTATTTACTCAATGCAATACAAGACTGCAGCAGAGAAAGCGAATAGCTTTAAAAAAAAAACATTTACTTTATTTATTTACTCACATACATATGGAGCAGTGATAGTCTGGCTGGTAGGGCGTAAGGCTCATATCCGAGAGGTTGTGAAATCGATCTCCGCCAACCGAATACTCCCCGTGCACAAAATGGTAACTGCCGCACGCTAAATTTGTTAGGGTCACAAAGTTCTCCAAGTTCCCATAACAAACCAATACCTCTGGGGGTGCTAGATCGGAGATTCATCGTACTCTGGTTCAAGCCAAAACTACGATCTGTGAATGTGTCCTTGTAAAGCGGGATGTATCGTATGTGTGTTGTCCCCGGATCAGACCGTCGTCAGTAGCTCATTGAGCAGCTCTAGTACGGCGTAAATAAAAGCACCGTACCGTATCGTATCACATACATATGCAAGTTCGTAGGCTCAATACATAGAACGACTTGCAGAACTTTCTAGTATAAAAGGGCAACACAAATGAGAGGACAGCACAAGGATACAGCCAGGATTACGGCGAGATTCAACCTATTCCCATCAATGCCTGGTTTTTCGTAAAGCCTGAGAGGCCTCTTCATTGGGTTCCCTCATTTCTGAGGGAAACCTAATAATTTTTATTTGTTTTTTTTTTTTTTTTTNTTTTTTTTTTTTTTTTTTTTTTTTTTTTTTTTTTTTTTTTTTTTTTTTTTTTTTGCTTAAGACTTATCTATTAGAATTACTATGTGTAAATGAAGATTAAAATAAATATAAGCTCAAATTTGCAAAAATATCGTAATTTTTTTATAAGTACCGTCATTTGGGATGACTTTGTGCAAACTGTCATTTTTTCAATTACTAACATTATAATAATTAAAAACAAAAAATTATGCACGATTTGTTATCTCAATTGATAAGACTTTTGAAGTATAACCTACCTTCCTGGCCAGGATAACTAGAACTTCTTCAACCGAGCAGACTTTCCAGCCTTCGATTTTGCAACGCTAAAAAATTTGAAACTGTTTGTAACTTGAGCTCACAATTTTCCAAGAACGATGATGTTTACATTACCAGTTATTGGTAAACCATTAGTTCGTTATGTTGACAACTCAAATCAGTTGATACCGAGCTTTAAAAAAATACCCCTAGATGGCACGACACAAAAATTGAAAAAATGACAGTTTGCACTAAGTCACCCCATCTAACGGCAATTTAAAAACACTTTATTATTAAAGAACAGGTAAATTTTGTTTAAAGAAATGAGCAGGGGTCCCTTGACAGTTCTGTACCTAGGGTAGCCGCATTTTTAGATCAGGCCCTGACTACTATCACGCTTCAGAATGCATGGCGGAAGAGTGATACTACACAGCCATGGAGATTCCAAAGCAATTAATTGAGGTAAGACCAACTTGCTGCTTATTTGTATCTATTTATTGATTGTTTCACATATATATCCAGGCTTGGGTGTTCATTAAAAGGTAAGATTAATAAGTCCTTGTCAAATTGATAGCTCAACTTTTTCAAAATTAGTATCCATAAGATATTAGTATAAAAAAAAAACTCTTGAGTAACAAAAATCTAAAATACAATCTACCTAAAAATATTGAATTTATATGTGAAATGTAGATACAAGAAAATATAACTTTTAAAAAGATATATTTATTCAAAACACTTTTATATAAAAATAGCACATCTTAGAAAATTTTAAATAATAATAAATCATAAAATTTTTAGCTGTACAAATACTCTCATTTTATACTTTTAAATTTCAACAACAAATCATAAAGAAACACCTGAAGAAGTGTATTTTTTTTTTCAAAAATAATTCCACAGATATTTAAAAAAAGCTTACTAAAGTTGGGGTAATGAAAGATCACACTTATTTTAATCAAATGCTAAAAAAAAGAAACATTTAGTTTTTTGAATTCTAAAAAGTAAATAAAAAACTTTTACTATTTATAGAGAACTAAAGAAATATTGTACATATTTACAAAAAATTTCAGCACAAGTTTTTTTCACTTGGCACAAAATTTGAGCGTAAAAAAAAAAATTAAGAATGTTCATTAATATTAAGGCTCTTAAGAAAAACTGTAAATATCTCTTTTGCTAATTCTACTTAAGCATTGATTTCAGTGCAAAGGAAACATCTAAGTTCACAAAAAAGTTTTACATACAATTATTTTTCAACACATTTAACCCACAAATAATTATAATACATAAATAAAACAATTGCTTAAATGTTAAATAAAACAAAAAAAATTCGTTCTAAATCAATAGATATTGTAGTGATAGCTGATGTGTAATAAACAGAAGGTGTAAAAATAAAATAATTTAAAATATGCGTCTTCTTTAATGTTTGATCTACAAGTTTCAACATATGGATTAGTTTTTTGTTAATTCCTTAAATGTGCCACAAAGTTTTAAAAAAGTGAGCAATTTTTAACGCAATTGCAATTTTCTACTAAAACATAAGCAGTAAAAAATAGTGGAATTAATAAAACTGATAATGCACAGTAATATCACATTTGCTAAAAATTTGATTGAATAAAACATTTGACTAGCAAAAGTTTAAAAAATTTTCAAACAAGGAATTATAATTTAATTCCAAAGAGTCATGTATTTATAAAAAAAAACAAGTTGCTTATCACAAACTAAAACAAAATACTTCAAACGAACAAAAATGTTGAATAAAATATTAATACATAAAATTATTAAGCAGTTTTGAAATGAAAATGGTAACAAGCTAGCGAGAAATGTTAACTTAATTCCAAAGGGTCATACAGATTAAAAAAGGGCCAGTTATTTATCACAAACTAAGACAAAATGTTTCAAACAAAAAGTATGTTGAATAAAACCTTAATACATAAAATTTCAGTTATGAGATGAAAGTAGCGACAAGCACACATAGAAGTTTCAATAAATGAAATACCTTAAAAGTATTAAAACACAAATCGAAATATATAGCTAAAATATGTTTAGTCTTTATGCAATTTAATTTAAAATGCTCTGAAAACTACTAATTTCAAAAACAAATGTAATTGTATTAAAAGAACTAAAAAAAAAACTATTTTGTTAACTTCAAGAGCATTTTTGTGTTACAAAATTTCTTTTCATACTATACAAATCAATAATAAAATAAAAAATTATGAGGAATGAAAATAAATTTTACATAAAAAATAAATATTAAGAATAGATTGAATCCATAGAGTACCATCTGATATTGCTTCATAGGAAAATGTTTGGAAAATATTTAATTTAAAACTATAATGAACATAACAGAAATAAGTTTTAAGAAAATTAAACAGATATAAAAATTAAAACTGGAAGTAAAAAATTTTTTTTTAAATTCTACACAAACTAGATATTTTAAAGAAACCATCTATCATTAAAAACATATATATTGAAACTTTATTTACAAAGAAACGTTCTCAAAAATTTTATTCTTTTTTAACATTGTAATGAAGATAAAAAGATAAATAAATTTAAGAAGAGTTAAAAACATACAAAAATAAAAAGTTATTCCAAATACAGAATAAATACGAGAGGTAGGTAAAAGACAATGAGAATAACATTTTTTAAAAATTGAATTCAATGTCAAAAAAAAAAGACATTTTTTAAAAGTATAAATTCGATTTTGTCCATAATCTAATTGTATAATTTCTATCACTAACTGAGATAATCTCAGACAGAATTATTGTGATTTGCAAGCGATGTTTGTCGTATGTTAAAAGGCAATGTATGAAGACGGCCTTGATAAGCATTTGACAAAGTTCTGAAACTTCTGTCAGGCGGAGGAGCAGATCTTTGAATTTCTGAATTGAGCAAAGGAGTTGTTTCTGATTGATTATTGGTAACAGCAGAGATTTCAGCTTGAGCTGATTCTTGATTTAAATTAACTTGCTTTTTACACATAGGGCAGATTCGTCTATTTTCAGTTAACCATTGATCAATACAAGTAGCGTGATAAGCTGCAATATAGAATAATAAAAACTAACAAAGATGATACTGAAACGAATAAAATGGATAACATTTCATTATTAAGAATAATATTTTTATGAAGAGTTTTTCGAAAATTTTTTAAATATTTAAATTTAAATATTATTACCAGAACATGGTTAGGTACTGATACTTGCCAACTTATTCCAATTTATCGAAACAATTTTATTAGAGTTTTAGAGAGATAGTAAATTTTTTGATCAAACATTTAATTATAGATTTAATAAATTGAATTTAGAATGATTTTTTTCACTACTACAAACAAACAACTTAAATTTATATACAAAATCCAATTATTGATAGGAGAAAATTTTTAAGTGAAGGTAAAATTGAACAAATTATGTTTAACTTAAATTGCCACTTGATACCACTTTAAATATGAAGGGAACTTTTGTGTTAACAACTATGGGTACAGAAGTTACTTTTAAATTATATTAAAACTTAATATTCTTTCTTGAAACTAATTATTTTATATTAGATTATGTTCACACATTTCAAAAGGCCATTCTATTTAACAGAAATGCTCTTCATTAGCAATAAGTACTGATTTTATAAAAATAGAATTTCATAACAAGATAGATAAAGCTGAAAAAGAAAAAAGAATCATTACACAAATTAAATTGTGCATGAAAACACCAATATTTAAAAGTTTGATTTCAATTACACTTTCAACAAATTTTATTTTCACAATTTTTGATGACTTAATTTAGTGTTAGATGTACAATGCGCAAAATAAAAAATGGACCAACCTGAATAACTTTTGACTAATGATCAGTTCTATGACTCTAGGGGTGTTCTCAAATATGATAATTAATAAGTGGAGACAATATTTTAAGTTACAAAATAAGACACAAAAACATACTTTCTCTTAATAAACAAAACTTTTTTAAAAACAGTCTTAGTTGTTAATAAGACAGACTTAAAATATGCTAATAATTAGTACCAACTAGAAATTAATTTACAAAATCAAACACAAAAACTTACCTTTATCAACTTAATCATAATCGTACTTTTATCAAATAAACAACTCTTAACGACGGATTTGGATATTTGGCCATAAATTTATGAAGTGTAGCCACAATCTCAAATTTATAGACCAATTTAGTCAAGAGAGTGTTTTATAGCTTAAGCTCCTTGGTGCTAATTTTACTTTTCGCATATTCAGCTATTTCTCAAGAACTTTTAAAAGCAATGAAAATTCCTACTCTATAGAATGAAACTAACTATCCAAAACTAATTTCATGCAAAAATTTTCATAATTATTGATTTTTTTCAGGGGGAGTAAACCATGTTGACGGTGTAGCGTATCTACCACTACAAAATTACAACTACAATTCACTAGTATATAAGAAATGTTAACTCGATTCTATGGTGGGGTACCTTTACATAGATGGCGGTTGACATTGTCGATAATACCACCCCACATTGGTGACCCGGATGTGATGTGAACACGCCTACCTGGGCAGTAATGCCCACTTCGATATGAACATGCCTATCTTGACAGTAACGCCCACTTTGATCTGAATACGCCTACTTAGTTGGATGGTCCACATTGAACAGTTGACTTGCTACTTGTGACTGCAACATCATCCACCTCCTAGCGCTGTTGCTGCTCAGTTTCAATCACGCACAACGCATACACTCGACTGCTAAAGGCAACACAGAAGCAACTATGACCGTGAAGTTAATACACCTCTCACATTCAGCACTCAGAAAGTACGGTGGTCTTAATACAACTCTCCCGGCTTTACACAAAAACAGCAATGATTCAACTAGAGGTATCCATTCATCGAATTCTATCACAGATATAATTCTGGTGGGGGAGTACTGTATCTACCACTACAAAATTACAACTGCAATTCACTAGTATATAAGACATGTTAACTCGTATATAAGACATGTTAACTCTGTATTTTTGAATGGTTATTCAGGGTTCCCACACTATGATGAGATTGAAATTCAAGGACTTTCCAGGACTTTTCAAGGACCTCAACAAAATTTTCAAGGACCTTAATCTAAGACCAATTTTAAAAATTATTCTCTTCTATTTTACTAGAAGCAACAATGCTTGTTGTGGCAATAATTAATTTCAAATATAATACCTAAATGCTTTGCCTATATAGAGAGAAGAGAGTATATGTATTATGGACTAAAATTTATATTTTTTTAAAAACAACCCTACTGGTTTTACATATTAATTCACAAAATCATTTTCAGCACAATCTATAACTAATGGTAATGAGGTGTTAATGGTGAAATCCTTTAATCCTGTGTATTTCCATGTGAAGGCTGCATGAAAGACAGAGCTAAATCTTAGGTATTCCATATTCCATGACTATTCCATAACCCCCTCCTCTCCTCTATTAAACATCGTTTCTGAAATTATTCATCCATAATTTACACAACCTTCTCTAAATGTTATGCAGCAACAATTCTTTCTGAAAATAAAAATTAGAAGGAACATATCCCATTTTCACCATGTTTAAAAGCATTATTCGTTATGTGTAATCCACAACTGCCAATGAATATGACCTGGTGGGAATATTTCTCTTTTAATTCACACTGAAGCTTCTAATAGAATTTCCAATTGACATAGGGTCCATCCATGGATAATTGAAGTATTTTAGAGAGCTTTTAACCATCATCCATGCATTTGTAAAAAGAGGACAAAATATTTTCTGCAGTTCCATGACCCATAAATTGGGAGGTAAGATACTTAGTGCAAACTTTATTATCAATTCCTTACCATAATGTCCATCTGCTTAGATTGTAGAGACTGATTTAACGTCTCATCAAAGAGTACAGTGTAGCAATCAACATTCTTCAGCTCATTTATAAGAATCCCTTTGAAGTATAGTGCCAATCCAAAGGAGCCCAAATAGGCTCACTTTGTGGCACTACAAAAAAATTGTCTCGCTATACAGCTATCAGCAAACATTTTGGAGAACAATTTACTAATCCCTTCACAGGAGTTACATGAATAATTACTAGTGATGCACTTCAGACTCCAGAGAATTTCAGCATCAAGCACATTCCTTTTGACCAGATAAGAAGACAATGTTACCTCGGCCACTAAAGTTTCTGTTTCACATGGGGCACACGATGTTGAAGGAGTATTTACACCAGATGAATTAGATGTTGATGTCTTTGGAAAAAGAGAACTCAGGGCATGAGACTGCTTTTTTGTTTTACCTTTCTTTCATGTGTGATTTCAGAGCAGATTCTTCCATTTTCGCGATATCGATCTCCTTCATGCATAATCGGCACTTGGCTCTGAACTTCTTTTCGGGCATCGATAAAATCCATTCTTTATAAGCTTGATTATCCATCCATTGGGGATTAAAATAGCACTTCCCAGGCATAACTAGTCTAAACTACATAACACAAATACGAAGCCGTGCCTTTGCGAATACGCTTTACAATAAAGTTTTGAAATGACGCAAACGTAAGGACAAGTGCGGATGGTAAAACGGCAAATTTATTGAAAACTACAAGGTACATATTGTTACGAAATTCGAGAGTATTCCAGTTTCGATAAGAAAAAAGAAGATCTAAGCTTATGCGACAGAAGATGAAGTGGAGTCTCGCCCCGAACACATTGATTGTCTGCTGTGCTCCGCGCGCTTGGCAGACACCAAGATGCTAGGCCCGGTTAGAAACGGTGGTGTTAAAAACCACATGAGAGAGCTCGGGAACAAAACAGAAAGAACGAGAAAGATCCGCGGGTGTTTTATAAAAAGGGCCGCCGACAGTATTGGACAAATTCAAGGACCTATCAAGTTTTTCAAGGACCTAAGACGCTTTTCAAGCACTTTCAAGGACCTAAATTTAGCACAAAAAAATTCAAGGACTTTCAAGGACTCTCAAGGACCGTGGGAACCCTGTTATTTATCAAGAATTATTTGACTGATCTTGTTCAAAATTTTTCATTTTGCCTTATACATTTACAAAGTTTAAAATGATATAAGAATTTGTATACCTTACCATTCAAAATTTTTTGACTAATATTAAACAAAAATAATGAAAATAATTATTAAAAATTTTTTTGAAAGGTATCATTTAGAACAAAAGTTATTCAGGATGTTATTTTATTTTTATTTATTAATTTTTTGTTCACTGTACAAGATCTGAAAAGGGACATACTGTGCCATACAAAAATCTGAAAAAAAACGATTATAAAGTTAAGTATCATACAGATATCATTCTTTAAGTTAACTCCATATTTCTTATTACAAAGTACCAATGTCATGTACCTTTGATAACAATTTTGAAGTAAATGGAGGTAACCTCTAAGAATGACCAACCTCTATCAATGACCATTTTACTGTGGAACAGAAAGTGTGGAGCAGAAATTATTATATTAGGTGCCTGCTTGAAGTCCAGCATCTCTAAGCGAAGATCATAAAAATGGTGTCCAGAAATAGAAAAGAAACCATGATTAGCTCACAATACAGTGAGTGCATGACACCAATTACTACTAGATTCATGGTTAGTATTCCTATCATGTAAATGGTACAAGATTTAAGAACTTCACTTTGCACTTTGGATTTAGCATCATGAGCATATTAGTGTGAAGAATGTAAGTCAAATACACACTTCACATAACAGTAAGAGTTAATTCAAAGAATGTCATAAAAACATTAAAAAAGAACCTATGAAAAAAAGTCAGTTTCACAAAAACTAGTGCTCAGATTATGTAAAAAATTAAATGACATCAAACTACATGCACATGTAATCAGCAAAATTATAAGTTGTATTTAAAGAAATTAATAAATTCAAACATACCGTGACAGCAAGGAAGAATTCGTAACTTCTCATTAACTTTAAAATCTTCTAAGCAAATTGCACATGTTTCATACGGATCCCCTTAAAAAAGACATTAATAGTTTAATTGTAATATTACCCTATAAAAGTTAACAATATACCATAGATACAAATATCATGAATCAAATTTAAAAACTAATTGTTCCTAAACCTTATACTTAAAAACGTAGGGCTAGGCTGTTTTTGATTTTAGTGTGATTTGGAATTTTTTTAAAAAAACTGATCAAAAATAATCTCCCTTTAGCACTCACTGTTATTAATTTAAAAAATAATGATTCTTAAATTTGAGAATTCTTTGTGGGTGGATCAGGGGATTTTTTGAATGATTACATGATCCAGAGTTGAGTATTATGTTGTTTTTTTTTTTTTTTTAAAATTAAATATGCATATTTTACAATAAATAATTCTTCATTTCAAGACTCAAACATTTTAATTTATTTCTCTAAAAAAGTAAGACCATAAACTATTATTATTGCCATTTTAAGGTTTTCAGAAAAACAGTATATGTACTTTTGCAGCCTATGGAAATGTGAAATAAAAATACATAATAATTGCAATTATTCCATTTAAATAAATTGGTTATCATTTTACCTGTTTTAAATTTGGCAGTTTCCAACTGTTCCAAATGACTTGTGTTAAGAATAGAGTTCTGCATTGCATGAGACCGTTGAACATACTTTAGGATCTATAAATAATTTTAATTTAAACATTTTATCTTAACTTAGAAGAAATTTTAAAACTTATAATGATGATTACAGATTTAAGAAAAGATATAACAAAAACCATAATTAGTTATTAGGAATATAAAATAAAATAAATAATCAAGATGATATAACAGTAAGATGATAGATTGTTCTGATGTGCTTATTCTGTGGAATAGCATTGTTCCGTTTGCATATTGCCACAATCAAAGTTAAATTAAATTGATTTGAAAAAACAATTTAAGAAAGTTAGATTGTTTTTTCAATTGCTTTAAGAATACCAGTACAGAAATGTTAAAGCATAGAGTTAAAAAATTTGGATTCATTGGGAGACAATAGATTAACTTAGATAGACAGATTTGACAGATAGACTTAGATTTGGGAGACAATAGATAACTTAGAAATACGGTTTTTATGCTAGTTAAAAATATCAAAACTAAACTTTTAAATAAACATTAGAACATCATTATCTGTAACGTATTAACAAATTTTCTAAGTGACCACCCTTGGTCTTAATGTACAGCTGTAAATGCCACAAAATTTTCAAGTATGGGTCGCAACTCCCCTTCTGATATTTTATTTCTTTCCTTGCACAAGGATAATTTTTAGGAATGCAAAAGTCTTATAAGATTTAACACAAACCTTTTTGTCCAAGATGAACCAAAAAAAAAATTTCATTGCATTTCAGTATGCATGCAAGTCCAATGAATAAGATGGTGGCCATTCTAGTGTTGTAAGAAAATCGAGAAAATGTGCCATACACCATTCTTAAGTGCGTTTCGCCATGCGTGCTGGCTGGTGGTCGTGCTGTATCCTGTTATTGATTTCTTTTTAGCTTTCTAGCAAGTTTACATGAGTAAAGAAGCACAGCACATCCAAAAATGAGTTTGAGATAGACGGTAGAATAGGTTTTTTTTCTACTGGCACAGATCTTCTTCCAAACTTTAACAGATTTTGGTCATTTATGCCATTTAATAATGAAAGAAAGTTCAGGGACATCTGCTGATTATTCTGTATCATATCATAATGACTATTGTTGTTTTGTTCAATTAAGAACAGTTTCTCATCAGTAAAGACAAATTTCTGTCATTGATCACCCACAACCTATATGAGGAGTTTGTTTTTAAACTGAGTACCTACCTAATGTAAAGTTATGAGCAATGCTTTTCCTTGCAGTTAATAAATAAACAACAAAGCCAATTATGTTTATAACATTAATTTTAAGATTATTCATTGATTTCAAAGATTTTGTAAAACACTCTGTATTGACTACATCTTATAATTTTCTTGCAAGAAATTTAACTGTGAAAAGCTAAAATAACATTAAATAACAGATTTGAAATAAAAGACAGATTAACATAGATTTGAAGAGAAAAAATTACTTTATGACTATAGATATTCTAAAAAAATTAGTGACTAAGTTGAAATTTTTCACGAAAATTTTAAGTTTGAATCTTCTTATTTTTCTTAAATTTTCTGTTGCGTGTTTATTCCCTTAAGAAATACTGAGGCAAAATATATCAAATAAAGCTTAAATTGAGGGTCTTTATTAGTTTTTAAAATTAATTCTTACTTAAAATAATAAATAATATTAATGAATAAATAATTAAATTAATTTAGTTATTAAAAAAGAATCAACATCTTCAAATAAAGCATAAATAAGATCACTTTCCATGTTTAGTTAAAGATATTTTAATCATTTAAAGCTTAGAAAAGTTTAATGGGACATATGTGGTTGTTAGCGCTAAAATGTTAACAATACATATTTTTCCTTAAAAAAGAAACGAGCCATATTAAATAAATACTTCAATATCAAATTAATTTACCAACAAAAATTTTCAATATAATTTATAATATTTAATGAAGAAAAAAAGCAGAAGCAAAAGTTAAAATTTCAATAAAATTTGCAAATAGAGAAGTAAACTTTCAGATTAAACAAGCATTACTAATCAATTCAAAGAAATCAGAAGTAAGCAAATTATCAGAAAGTAAGTTTGATAAATACATTTTTCAAAAATGTATCAGTATAATGTATTAAAATATAGATTAAAAAATAAAAATGTTAATCATGAAAAATCTGATTCTGAATGAAGTATAAAAAAAGTACTAGAGTACTCGATGTGTTACAGCTCTTAGTATAGGACAAAATTGATGGTTGGAATGGTCCATAGGGAAACTAAATATAACAAATCGTGCAATTAAAGAATTTTACACCAGTCCCCATCTGATTACCTCTTTTTTTTTCTTGAAAATGGACCCTATGTACATTTCATGCCTTTTTAATAAATTTATATTTGATTAACTTTCATTTGATTAACTTATATTTGATTATTGTGAACATTTCACAATGTTTGAAAATTACATTATGTCATGCTTTTTTTTAAAAAATTTTCTTCATTTCAAAAAAGAACTTTATTACATAATGTTAACCAGATTTTGATAAACGATTCAAAAGAAATGCCTATCATTAAGAATGACAGTTTTTTTCATTGTTTCAAATTTTGAAAAGTGGTCACATGTTTTAAAAAGTTACCATCGTTAAAGGCCAGAAATACAATGCCCTAATTTTGCCCTATAGTTTTTATATGTTTTTCTAGTGCCACATCTAGGTACAGTTTTATGCAAAATAGCATAAAGAGGCTGATTTTTTAAATGATTTCTAAAAGGAATTTTAAAAAAAATTGTTCTTACGAAAATATTTCAGAATCTAAAAGAAAAAAACACTTTTTTTTAATGTGGGCTTAAAAATTTATTTAAAAAAAAAAACTCAACCTACACCAATTGGTATGACTAAAATGATAACTAAGAACAGAAAAGTGGCAAGTAACAAGCGATACTTCTGTAGGAAATATTTCCATTTTGGAGAAGGTTGGTTAGGTGTCATTAGGATCCAGAACCTAGAAGAAGAGAATTAAGAACAAACGAGAATTAGGATTAGAAATGCAGAAGAATGTTAAGAGATTAATAGCAAGAAATGAAATGTTAAAAGTCAAAAAGGGAAATTGAAACTACAAGGTTAAAATGCAGAAAGTTTATATAATAATAAAGCAAAATATTACAAGGTTTATTTGTAGATCCATACATATTTGTAGATGCATATTTAGCTTGCAAGCACAAGAGATAAATAGTACAATTTCAAATTCTTTTTACATATAAATAAGTTCTTATGCTTTATTAAAGATTTACAATGCATTTTAATCTTAAAACGTCATACCTATGCATTAATCTACAGATAATAGTAAAATATTTAGATTTGACAAATATACATGATGATTTTTAACCTTGAAACAGATTTGAAAAATTGCAATTTTTAAAGGTTAAGGCAAATATTTTAGAATTTATAAGTTGGGGTTCAAAAAAACATTAATAACAAAATAATATAACTAATTTTAACATTTTATAAGTACACTAAATTTGTATGAATAAGTGTATGTTAATGTGTATAGCGGGGTATTTTCTGTAACATCCATTAAACATTACTCAATATGCTTGCTTAAAATTGCAAAGAAATTTACCAGAATCTTAATTAAAATAGTATATAATCTATATAATATAATTAAAAAAATTATGATTTAAAGAAATTATGATTTTCAAGAAATTGTTTCATTAGTGATTTTGAATCAAGTCAAGCTAAGTAGCATTTTGAATTACATTTTTTTTCTCAATAAAGTTTGGATTCTTAAAGATAAGAACATTTAATTATACTTTATTTAAGATAGGGAAGTAAGAAAACTATATGTTGTAGTAATAATGTGCAAAAATGCATATTTATTAAAAATGAAAAATATTAAACATTGATACAAAATAAAACACATTTTGTCACTGATTTTTCCTTTAATTACATTGAAACTTTGATTAAAATGCAAAGTTACACCACTGAATCAGGCCGAAGAAAGTTTGCACTTAAACAGTGTAAATTGATTATTTTACCCAATTTCATTATGTTACTCTGTTTGCAAACTCTGGTTGTACTTTATATCAATTCAAGTAATTCACTCATCAGATAATTTGGGAAATTTTTAAGTTTTTGCTTACTTCTTTCTTTATTCCAGTAAAAAAATAAGGTAGTTGTCATTTCTTATACAAGTGATTTAAAAACTACAACTGTTATTCTTGTCTTTAAAATGGAAATAATAACTCTTATCAAACTGATTTACCCTATTATACAGGGCCTTCTAAACTATAGAAATAAAGAGCTTCCATGGAAGCCAAAATAAAGAATGAACTTCATTTAAGAATATGAGTCATCATGAATAGATAAAAAGAAAATTTGGAAATTACTGTGTTGATAATAATTTGATTTGAGTTCGATTAAAACATTGACACAATAGACCAATAAGGCAATTACACATCACATGCAGGACAATCAGAAATTATAATTTACACAGTTTAAGGCCTTTTTTCAATAAAAAAATTTCAATGTATTCAATTTTGAGACAAAGATGCTTCAGGCCTAAATGCAACTATATAAAAAAGCTTTTTAAAATATTAACTAGCTTGTATGAGTGAAGTATGGGTCAAATAAAACTGCCCAGTGATTTAACTTTAAAATTATAATATTGAAAACAAATTATACACATAAATTATCTGCGTTATTTCCTTTTTCAGAAATAGTGAAAATGCTTTATTTTATGCAGAAATAACTCTTAAACAAAAATTTATGATTTTTCTGACACAATTAAAATGACTACTTCCTAACGGTGACATGAGGCAAGGCAATTAAAGAAAATTATTCTTTCAGAGCATATTACTAATTAATATTTTTGATTAAAATTGCAACATATTGTAATACTAACTTCTTAGAAAATGCACAGAAATCTTGTTTAAAAGCTTAATTCCTTCTAACATGTGTGAAATATTTTCCTCACCAAATCTTCTTTTCATAAAAAATTATTATGGAAATACCTTTCAGTGATATATCATAAAACCTATTTTTACGAAACTTTAATTAATAAATATAAAAAATCATTTGCTTGTCTCTAAGTTATAATGTAAAGCATAAGAAAACTTTTAAAAAAAGAATCAGACTTCCAAACTTAGGAAACATGAAGTTATACTTTAAAATAATTTTTCATTTACTTTGGTTTTTAAAATGAAAAGAAAAAAATGCTTTTAAAAACTCAAAGACTCTGACTAATATTTGTCAAATTTCAAAAATAAGCTCATCTAAATCAGAATGAATCAACCACGTCTATCTGAACAACAAAAACATATGAAACTTAGAAAATAAACTGAAAATAAATAAATGTTTTTATTAAACATATTAATGTGGCAAAAGCAATTGTTGCAATAGGTTTAATATTTGTTAAGGAAATAGCTAAAGACAAAAAGGAAAATTATGATACAAAACATTAAAAATGGACAAAAGACAAACATAAATGAAGAAAAGGGATGATGCAAAGTTATTGTTATAGTGAATAGCAAAACGTATAGCAATAGGTTTAATATTTGAAAATAGGTTTAATATTGTTATAGTGAATAACAAAATATATTGCAATAGGTTTAATATTTCTAAAGAAAGGACATAGCTAAAGACAAAAAGGAAAATTATGACACAAAACATTAAAAATGGACAAAAGACAAACATAAATGAAGATAAAGTATGATGCAAAGTTATTGTTATAGTGAATAACAAAACCAAAAATTTAAAACACCTCCAATTACTTATTGTTAACTTACATTTTAAATAAACAATGAAAAGATTTATTAAGTAAAAGCAAGCTATCAGGTAGTGATAACTGATACCACATTAACATTTGATTTAAAAACTATGGTAATTAGTGATGACGTGTAACTAAAATTGTCGATATTTTACATGCTGTATTTCAAAAGAACATGTGAAATCAAACAATTCTTACAATAAACCATGGCTAACCCTGCCCTTACCACCCACTAGTGGGCAATTCAAGCTATCATAGTAAGTTTTTAGTATTTCATCTATTGCTTGTTTTGTAAAAATGTATTGAATCTCTGTCCAGCTTCTGTAAACAAAGAAACCATCAATAACCAACAACACAACAATTAATAACCAATTTATACTAACAATGAAAAAACAGTTAAGAATTATATTTTTACTGTTTTACCTCTATTTGGTAGAAGTAACTAATAAATTAATTTGGCTACAGCTTATTGTAGAACCAGTTTCAAATTTGTAAAGTAAAAAAAAAATAAACCCACATAACCCTTGATCCAATGATCAAAATCTCATGTACATACAATCTTAATGGTTTTAGAGGCAGGTGTTACAAATACAAATTCACTAGTGCAAGTGATAATTCAAGTTATAAAAGCAGGCAAAAAACATACTTTCCTTGAATAAACATATTTTTTGATGGATTTTGATTCCTTACCCTAGAAATATGAATGGTTGCAACAATCCAGAAAATGGAATACTACCCAATTTTTAGATAAAGTTTTTACATACAAGCCTATATTAACGGCGCAGTTTTAATAAGCTTAGTTAAATGTTCAAAACTCAAGCATGGTCAAATAATCATATTTGAAACTAAAATATCATTTAAATTAAGGGTCTGTAATCTATTGCTAAAGGGCTACACGCATTATTTTTGGATTAACGATATTTGGATTTGCGAGTGAGTGAAGTGCTGGAGCAGAGTATACCACCTACCAGTTTAACATAATGGCTGAAATTAGAACTTGGTAAAATATGTTTTGCATTAACATTTGGAATTTTGGATAATCCTTAATTAATTTGAATAATTTCAGAAGTTAAGTATTTCACATTATATTAACAATGGGCTTAGTACAGAGGAAAAAGCTGTAAATATACAAAGATAAAATTTTATGCTTCAATAAGAATTATTCCAAATAAACTTAAATAAAATTTTCTAAGCTCAAAAAATAATATTTAGAGCTAAAATTCAAAGTCAAAATTGAAACCATTTCATACTAAAAATTAATAATAATTCAGCGGTTTTGATAATTTTCAAGTTATAAAAACAGTTATGAAAACCAGTATTTTTAGAAAATATAATGGTTGCTAAGCTATAAAACAATAAATAGCTTTCATAAAAAATTTAATTTTGAATCATAACATAAACATAATATCTTTAGTAAGTATTTTATAATATAAATTTTGATTGATAAAAAATTTTACTAGCTCTTTAAAGAAAATACATACTTTTTTTAGGTTTATGTGCACAAAACCCAAAATAAGATATTACATAATGTGCCATTTAAAATAAATTCAAAATTTGATTTATAATATTAGAAAAGTTACAATTTATATCAAAAGGTGTGTTAGACAAACTAGAGAGATGGAAAAATATACTTTTCATGTATGATTAATTGCCAACGAATCAATCAAAACTTTTCTTTCAGTTTTATGCAATTAAAAAATAAATTAATTAATATGAAAAGTAGACAGCCTGCTACCAACCCATTAACTGTACTTAGATTTTAGGTCAAATTTGGTTGCATTCTGAAACAGGATATCAGCTTTTCCCATGTTATATTATGTAGAAACTGTGCTTGGGAGAGAAATTTTTCAATGTAATTGCTCAATTAATGAGAACATTTAAGGGTTAGAATCCAATTATCATCAGATAAAAAGTAGAGACATCTGTGATTCTCAATAGTAATTTACTAAGCTCCCCAATACAGGTTAGTTTCAGTAAAAAAATATATATTCTGCTTCAAAACTCATGTTCATGTTTAAAAATTGTGCTCCTAAAAACTGAAAAATATCTATGGATAAAAATCTTCACTGCACGGCACTGAGCAATATGTTTTGCTTAAAATTACAACAGGATATGTTCACTGTTAAAAGTTTTTTCCTTAGAAATTTTTGTGACACATTAGTTACATATTTATTTAGAGAGGTTCATAAATGTTTTACAATATCATTGACAGAGATCATTAAAAATATTCACATAAATAAGGAAGATATATGAAAGAGAAGGTGCATAAGTGAAGGGTTATTGTAACTTTAAAAACACAAAATGTGAAAGATGTCCCTACCTTCCTTACATCTCTATAGCAGTCAAGTGTCACAGATGTGCAGTGATAATAAAAAATGCATTCAAAATTGCACAAAAACATGAAAGCTTGAATAGCTCACTAATGATGATATAAACAGATTTCAGTATCAATGCTATATACTATAAAATAATTAAAGAATAACAAAAGTTTGGCTGTTGTGGTGATTTGACTATACTTCATAAAACATAAACTCATACTCATCGTAAAATGAGCAAAAAGGTTCGTGATTTAATTTCCACAATTTCTGACTATTATTATGATTTAAAGAACTGCAATGGCTCAATGGTTAAGGATTTTAGCTGTCATTTGGAAGAACAAGGTTTATATTCTTAGTCCCAGATTTTTATCCCACACAGCTTCAGATCGATGGGTACCAGCTTGTCTGGGAAGTAAAGGCAGCATGTGCAAAATGCTAATCACATTGCCACAATCATGCTGTTGGTCACAAAATTGTGGAACCTAAATCTCCATGACCCCCTGGTCCACAACAGGCTGTTGCTGGGATTCTTTATTTACAACTATTTAAACAATAGTAAATATGCCCCATATCTAATTTTAATCGAAAATATTATCACTTAGTTGTTGTGAGTGATTAATGGCAATTCATTTAGTAATAAAATTGAAACTCTTATTCTTCTCAAAGCTATTTAGGCAAGTTTTCTAACAGTACAATTCAATTTAAAGATAGTAAAGAAATTATCCTATATGAGGTTGCTTTTGGATTAACACAACAAATTAAAGAAACTTACCAAAAAAGCAAGCATAATAATTACGATGAGGCCAGCCAAAGCAGCAACCATCATTGAAAGGAATGAAATAGTATCAAAAATAGTGGGGTAGATCAGTAACCTACAACTGAAGAAAAACAATGCATACCGAAAGAGAAATTGCATAATTTTTAATCAATTTATAGCAATTAATATTTTTGAGAGAAAAGTAATAATAGTCTTTTAAATTTTACAAAAGTAATGGTCATTAATATTGTTGTAATGAAAGTAATGAAGAATTACACAAATGACACAATAAGAAAGGTATGATAAAGAAGCAAGGCAAGCATGGTAGGAAATAACATAAACATCAATAAAGCACAACAGTAATAATTAAAGATAAATAATATAATTTTTCTTCTCACAAGGGTGATTGTGAGCCCAGCTCGGAAATCCTGAAAATTAATCTTAAAACCATTAATGAAGCATTTAAAAAAATTAATGTCTACATAAACTTAAATCATTGATATTTTCAAACATAAAATTCTAAGTAAACTATAATTATACTTATTATTCAACCAGAAAAATATTTACAAATGAAAGAGATGCCTAGTATAAATTCTAGTTCTAATATTTTTAAATAAAATTTACAAGAATTCTTATACATAAATGTGATCAATGATTTCTTGAAACTGGACCTTGGATTTCCAGAAACTTCCGGATTGTGTTAGGGAAAAATCTGGAAATCCGGATTTTTCCAGAGCACAATCAGCCCTGTTCTCAGAAGAAAAAAAAAGTTAAAGAAATGTCTCACCTAAAAGCAAAAAATCTAGAATCATAAGCTACATAAAATATGAGTACTAATTCACTCTACAGTAAGTTTGTTTCAGGATCTGAAAAATTTTGCTATTATACAATATAATGATGAACTTGACAATAAAAACGAGCTCGGTCGTTGATTGAGGTCTGTTATTCAATAATCAATTAAATAAAAATGAGGCTATATATTGAACAAAGTTAGAATAGATATGTAAGAAATTATTTTCAAGTGCTTCTAACAATTGGTTATCCCATATGGATTTAAATTTAAAAAAGTAATTGTATACCTTTTAAGGATTTTAATTTTTTTTTAAATATTTGCGCCTTCTATTATCATTTTTTAAATGTAGTTTTAATCTATATAATGTAATCCCTAAAAATACATAAAATAATTTAGCAAATTATTGTTCTGAATGCCTATAGACTTTAATTAATCACTGGCAGTTGATTAGACTCGGTAATTAATTACTTAGAAATAATTTTAGTGATACAATTATGCAATAAATTATGGTTTCTTAAAATTAACATAAGCATTGCTTTAAACAACCAACTGAAACACATGCTTGGAAACTTCCTTTAATAAGATTAGACTGAAATAATAACAGAAGTAGAAAATGAAAATTGATGCTAAAAAAATCTGTAGGTATTTTCCCAGTGCAGGAAGATATAAAAACAAATACACTTCATTTGCACATTTATTTTGTTGAATAATCAATTGAAAAGCAAAAAACATTAACATACAATTAAGGAAAGCATGTATTCATACATGTTTTTAACAAGACATAGTATGCTATGTAAAAGAAAAAGTAAAACAATGTAACTCATAAAGTCATGAAAGTAAAAGCCTAATAACAACAATGAGAATAAGAAAAAAAACGATTTGAATTCAGTACATAGTTTAAAACAAATAATTTAAAAATAAATGCAAAAAAATTTACATACACATAATTTTGAAGATCAAAAACATTTTCACTGAACAAAAAAAAAAATGAAAAAATTTCTTTTAAGAAAAAAATAATAAGAGTTACCTTTTATTTATTGTATACAAATAGTTCTCTTTTATGATAATTCCAGCATTAGTTCTAACTAAAACAGCAGTAATGTTAGGTAGATAACCTGAAATAAAGATTTTTATAAATAAATTATCGTAAAAATAAAAGCTAAAATTTCCTTATTAATTTCAGATAATATGTTTATTATCAAAGAATTATTTCCTCAGAACTACACAATAGATAGTTTTCTATATCAAAAACTTGTGCTGACATAATAGAGCTCTTCCAATAAGTTTAACCCATAGTAGTTTATAAAAAATGTGATATAAAATATAATGACAGCAATAAAGTCAAAAAATTTGACAATTTTTAAAAACAAGAAAGATTTGGGCTTTAAAATAAATAAAATTTAAAACAGTTTGGTTTGTCTGAAATAATCTCCCCTTTATACAGAGTACAAAGGTCCCATACATGGACATCTTTAAAAAAGTTCTATTCCTCTCATAAAAAAATTACTATTATTTTTTATTTATTTATTTTCTTTTTCAGCAGTGCAACTAAAAGATAGAAAAAAACTCAGTTATTAAGAAAAAATAAAATTAGAGAGGAGTGCAGTCTAATAAAGCGAAGAGTCTAAATCAGAAAATTAAGTAAAAATTAGTTAAAGATATAATTCACTAGCAATGATTGGAAAACATAATTTTTAATTACAAAAGTTTGCGAAGATTAGCCTTCTATATAAGTGATGAGCACAAAAAGTTATTGGAAAAACAAAAACATTTGACCCATTGGCGGTTTTGACATCTTCATTCTCACTGCTTTCAAATGTTCATACCTTTTTTTAAACAACTTACATGGTTACATATGATTACCAAACATCCAACACAAATGGTTCAGGCTAATTCCCTCCATTCAGAAAACTGTGGTATTAAAGGTAATTTGCCCCCTATCTACTGATAAATGGGTGTTTTGTCCCATAAAAATGAAAGGCTTTTTCAGCATGGACATTTGTAGGTAGAAAATGGAGTAAAGTTTTTTATGTGTCTGATTATTTGGGAGGATTAAAAAAAATATGACTTTCTACATGCAAAACCACAGATAGGTTAATGAAGAAAAAAAACTTAGAAACGAATGAAGTTTCATTTGAATGGCCTTTGAGAGCACTGCGTGCCATCAGGCTCTGTGGCTGTGCTTCAGACTTTTTTAATAACTTCTCTATCATCGACAATTCCGTTTATGATGTTGCCACAATCAAGTTTGCATGTTGAAGAAAAACATTTTTTTTCATTAAAAAACTTGGAGGGGGAGATTTGTGGAGGGGGAGACATTCTTCCTTGTTTGCTTATATTTTAATTTAGTTATTCTTTTTACTCACAGCATTTATTTTATCCAAATAAATATTCTTAAATTGATTAAATGTCATTTAAAATATAACTATATATTACTAAAGGAAATTAAACTTCAAATTTTGTTATTGTCCAACATAGGTATTGATGTTTACTTTGAATTCATATTGAAGTATCAGGAAAAATCTATTTTGAGGACTCATCCAAGTCCTAACAATTCCAGATATAGCACATTCCCTTACATAGAGGTGTCATAGCTCCAAACAAATTCTCTAACAAAGAGGATACCCAAAATGTAATTTCCCAAGTATAATATTATTTATAAAATATAAAACTGTCTAGCAGAGAATAATATGCAAAAAAAACGTGTTCTGAGTTTAAAAAAATTTGTGTTTTCTACTCTCTAACTGTTAGCCTTAAATTCAGTTTAGGACAGAATGTATTCATGGCAGGAAAAACTGTTATATATTCAATTGAGAAACACTAGCAACAAAAAAATATTTTTGTACAAATCTAATACAAAATAATTGATTATTTAGGCTAACTATTGAAAAGAGTAACATGAAAAACTAAAAATCATCAGAAACAATTTATTTTACAATAGAAATATTACATAATCACCGCTCCTTAAAATGTGATGGTGAAATCTTTCCGTAACAATCTTCATATTACTTTATCAGCTATAACAAGCTAAATGCAAAACTACAACTTGAATTATTAGCAAGATTTCAATAGAGTGAGTTACTACCTCTAAATTATCTTTTTTTAACAAATGGTATTTTCAAAATATTGAAACTAAATTCAATGATGTGAATTGAATTGAATATAGGGATTAATGGCACAAAGTCCACAGGAGGACATGCTGCGCCAAACATACGGTTTTAAAGTATATCTTTAAAATTCAACGATGTGCATCTTGTGTGTAAAATGTTTACACCTAATGTAAAAGAATACAAGGATATTATACTGCAATTTGAAAAGAAAATGAAATAAAAAAATCTAACTATTTAATAGGCAGACCTCAACAAATATTTGCTTAAACATTTTTTTAAAAAAGTAGCCTATATAAAACATACGGTAAAACATACTATATAAAATAAAAATTATGTTTGAGTTCTTTGTATAATTCAGGGATAATATTTTTTTAAAAATAAGAATTAAACGAGTAGATAAATAAATGTAATACCTTGATAGATTTTCTGATTTGCATTAACACTACTCCCTCTTAAGGTATATATTATAGCAGCAGAAAAACCAGCTGATTGAGCATTACTGACCTAAAAAATATCAAAACTAAGTTCTCAAAAAAAACTTTAAAAGAAACTGCATAATAGGATATGTGAAATAAAACTTTTAAGTGCAATATAATTTTATAATTTCATGAAATTCGATATCAATCAAAATGTATGAAGAAAAAACATAATGAATCATAGCTCTAAGCAAAAATTTATAACTTAAGCTAGAAATATGGTACAGTAACAATAAAAAATAATAAATTTATGTATATGCATAAAAAATAATTTACCATATATACTTGCATTTAAGTCAAAAAATTTAATACAAAAGAATTATTTATATAAAGCCAGCTTATTTACAGGTCAAAAAGTTGAAAATTTTCTTGGCATCTTATTTCTTCCAGTGAAACATATTCCCATCTAACCCCAGCAGAGAGCAGCCGAGGTAGAATTTTCGAGAGTTGCAAAAACATGCAATATGGATCGAATCATCAGAGGAAAAACAGAAGCGAACAGTATTTCCTTGTCATCTATCTGGTTTGAATTGGTTTTGCAGCATCAGTGACAAAATCCATTCTCACTTTTATATCATCTGCAATCCTGTCCCATTGCTGTTACAGGTAGTTTTAGCTTGCTTAATCTTGATAACAAATGCTTTTTTTTTCTCCTTTCTGGCTTTGATTTTCTAATATTATGGTAGATTATTCAAAAAAGAAAAATTGCCTTATAATACAAGGTTTAAACATAAAGTTATTTCCTTGACAGAGACTACAGTTAACAGTGCTACTTCAAATCAATTTGGCATCAATGAAGAATTGAATCAAAAAGTGCCCTACGCCATTGAACAGCTTCTGTTCTAGGGCTAGTAAACTTTAAAATTTTGGGATTTGAACTGGAGAAAAAATGGTAATGTAATGTAGAAAAATAATAATTCAAACTAGTATTCGTTTGAGAGCACTGAAGCTTACAAAAGATACACCATTCAACACAGACAGCAATTTTCTTTCATCAGCAGGTTGGTCTAGCCTGTTTATGAACTGATTTAAAGTATGTATACGAACACTAACTAATCTCACAAGGTTACCCAGGGATTTGAAAAAAAATTATGGAATTTCAACTATATATTACGAGAAAAAGAAATTCCTTTTGAACTTTCTTAAGTTGAATATATGGTTTAAACCCTCATATGATTCGACCTCCCTGGAAATAGGAAAGTGCACCAAAACGGGGGGAAAAACTAACATTGTAAAAACAATTAGGCATAAAAGGACAAATTTCATGGTAGTTCTTTCATATTTGGTTCACGGCAGTAAGCTTCCTCAAAGATCATTTTCAAATGGAAAACTCTCACAAATACTGCAGTGTTAACTTCTGGCATACTCATTTGCACAGCCAAAAGAAGTTGGATGAACGAATTAAGAGGATTGGATTAGGTAGATAATGTGTGAAACAAAAGACCAGGTGTCCTATTAAAGAGGATATCTTTTTTTGACCTTTTCATTCTTTTACTTTTTATGCACTACTGTGAAGAAGAAAGTAAAATAGAAGCTGCAAATTTAAAAACTATGCTAGCAGTCATGCCAGGACATCCATCCTTCAATCCCTAGATGCATGCCTTAATAAGCCTCTTAAAGAAAATATGAGAAAATATTGGGCAGATTGAAAAGGTTCTGGTTTTACTACAAAAACAAAGGAGCGAAATTTAAGGAAACTGGATATTGTTTTTATCACACACTGGATGATGGATGCTTGGAAAGCAATACCAGAAGAAATGATAGTTAAGTCATTTCAAAAGTATTGTATAAGAATCCACTCGACGGCACCAAATATGATGCGATATATAATAATTTAGATGAAATTGACTATTCTGATTCTGAAGATACGTGCACAGGCACCAATGTTTATGATGATGAACCAATGGCAGAAAAATACTTTAATGAATTATTCAACGAATCAATTCAGAAACCAAGTTTGATAGATTTTCATATTTTTGTTAAATTATTATTTTTTTAAATAAACTTTTTCTTAATTTCTAAATGCCAGGAAAAATTTATATAAAAGAAAATTATCGATTTCTCTATAAGTAGGGGTAGACTTATATGTGTGATCCCAATTTTTTTCCCCGCTTTTCTTTGCAGAAAATGGAGTGGGGTCAAAATTATATGTGAGATGAGTATATGCAAGTATATAATGTCACTTAAATATGCTCCTTTACTTTTCAAGTCCGCTTTAGCACAAATAACTCATAAGTCACAAATTCAAAAATAATTATTTCATCCAAGTTTATCTTTTTCAACCTAGATCCACCACAAAACATAATGTATCAACAACTTTTTTAAGCAATATTGTATAACTAAAAGAATGATTTTTATTGTGAAAAAAAAGTTTCTGCCTAAAAAAATAAGTTTCTAAATTTTTTATAAGATTACAAAGGTAATTTTTTGTATCCTTTTTAAATTATACAGTAGAATAAAAATTTAAAAAGAAATTGAAAATTTTAAATTCTTTTAATTTTAATTTAAAAGAATAAAAAATTCTTTCATTTTAATTTAATTTAAAGGAATTAAAAATTTTATATTTTCTATCTAAACAATGGACAACATTTTCGCAAGAGATCAAGCTAGAATACATTAGAAAATTAGAGTACAATATAAACAAATACTTTTAAGAAACAAAAACATAGCTACCAACATAAATACAATTTATAGAAAATTTTCTAGTGGTAGCAAAATTAGTGATTTAATTTGATTCTTGACATACTATATTTGCTTTAAATTAAATAACTGTTTAAAAAACTCCCACTGTTTAAAAAAAATATTTGTTAATGTTGGGCAAAGTGTTTTTAAGATAGAGTTAAGTAAAAAAAATTCTTATTTGTAATGTACATTAATCATTGTTTTAATCTAACACTAAAACAATCATGCAAGTGGAAAAATGACTTTACTTTTAAAGTGTACAAGTTAACAGCTATAATAAAGAATTTATCTTCTAAAGTTTTTTCAATTTGTAAGAATCATAAACAGTAGAGAACACTGTTGAAATTCTGCCAAAATATAATGTGCCGATTTTAAAAATTTAAGTGCAATTTTTAAAACTTCTGTGTTTTGTCACACATGTGTATCTCAGGGGGAATGTTGGCATAGAATATATACCTAGAATTACCTAATAAATATCTTAACCCTTGAAGGGAAAATTCACGCATATCTTCAGAAAAAAATTTGAGAATAACTCTGATACATGATATCAGAAATTGTTTAACATTTCTATCCTTACAATCTTGCATTTTAGTTGAAATTGTTGACTTCAATTCCTGCCCCCTTTTTTTATATAAACCTTGGATGATAGAGTCCAATTCTACAGCACAATATCTTTGAAAAAAGTATGAAAATTCAAATTATTACATTTACAAGATTCAGGGAAATATCAGATTTTCCCACAAAAGTAAACAATATAATTATACAATTAGAAATTATACATACATAAATATATTGGTAAAGATTGGAAAAAAATTTAATGCAGAGAAAATAATTTACTTTAGTGACATAATCACAGAGATTTCCTGCAATAAGCACAAACCAATTGAGAGATGAATTTTGTTCAGGCGGGCCTAATATTGGTGCACAGGCATCAGGGGGGTTCGCAAGTAATATCACTCCCTATAAGAAACAGAAAACAATACAGATACAAAATCATTTACAACTAAAAAAAAATACATTTAAAACATATTAATAAATGATATTTTATTTTATCTTTTTGAAAATAGAAGCCCACCATATTTTTACAGTTTTAAAATAACAGGCACTATTTCCTTGCTGCAATAAATAAAGAGTGTAGTCAACTGCTGATTGCACTCATCAGACTGAATAATATCAGACATTTAGAAAGGAATGAAAGTCATAATGTGAAGAAAATGAAGTTTTTACATTATTGCTAAACTTAATTTAGAAATAAAGATACAAAATTAAACTAGAAACAGGGTATCTGCTATATTTTCGATTTTCAAATCTATGACTTTTCATGACTAATTCCAAGAATTTTTCATGACTTAATGAAGTTACTGTTTTCTCCAACAAAAACACAACAATCAGTTTAAAAAAGCATTATGGCAACATTAATTGAAATGATAGGTATAACCAAAATTGTTACACTCTGCATTTTCATATTTATAGAATTAAAATTTGAAAAACAGAGTAAAGAAAGAGTTGAATCAATAAAATAGCTGAAATAAATGCAAAATCAAATCCTTTTTTTTTCTGCAGAATTATATTCTAAAGATACTTTTCTTGTTCATCCGAAAAGAAAGAAATACTCGCGATTTTTCTGTTCTCATTTCGGAATTTAAAAAATCGCCAATGGCTGACTTGCTTCAGCTAGAATTTTAAATTGATAAAACAAAATAAAAATAATAAATAAATAAATAAAAATCTGAAATCAGGGAAGTTTAAAAGATAATTCGATCTGGAAATGATGTTCTTTCTTTTATTTTTTTGAAAGAACGCCATAATTTTTAAAGAACATGATAAAAATATTTCATATTTCAATAAAATATGACTGTGTGTAGAGATTTTGTTACAAATTCTGATATTTGAAACACTGTGAAACTAGAGGGGTGTGGTAAATTCCATTTTAAAAATTAGATTTTTTGGTGACTTAAATCTATAACTTTCCATGATTTTTTTTTAAAAAAATAGTTTGAATCATGACATTTCATGTCAAATTTTGTTCAATATTGAAATTAATGATTTTTCAAGACTTTCAAGGTGCGCAAATAACCTGTAGAAATAAACATAACAAGAAAATATAATCAGAAATATAAATATTTATCAGTTGAGTCTGCTGTGAAACACATGAATGAATATGATTTTACAAGAAACAACCTATTTATTAAATATCAAAAATAAAATTTTAATAAAACGAGAAAGCATTTACTATTTTTTTCAAATTTTACTTTTATTTCCTGGATATTTAGCAGGTACGACAAAATTAAAGTATCTTTGTTGATTTCTAATCCACTTGCTTAAAAGAACTACAAATGAATAAAATTAGTTATCATAAAGTAGTGAACACTTTTAGCAGACTCTAAAACTAACTAAAAACTTGCAATCAGCATTATAAATATTTTGTTAAGATAATAAAATTCTTCCCATACATGAAATAAAAATACAACACAAAATATTAATTAACTAGGATCTAACAATTTAACTAACAGATAATTTAACAAAATAATATAACCAAAAATAAAATTTATTAAAACACATACAAATTTAAAATTATTTTGAACTGCAGCTATTACAGCTGTTACCTGCATATGAAATAAATAATTATTTTATTTATCTTATGCATATCTCAGCAACAAATATTCTTTTTCTTTTCTTAGACAAATTCGTAATGCTATTTGTGGGAAAAATATCAAAAAGATAATACAATTCTGCACATGAAGGCTCTGATATATTAGAGACTATGTGATACAGGATTTCTTATAACCTATTAACAGGTTATACCTGTTAATAGGTTATAACAGATTATACCTATTAACAGGATTTTTTAGTGGTAATAAGAAAATTTACACATAAACAAACCAAAAAGATTTTTTGACTTTTCTGCTAATATTTGAAATTTAACATTTTCAAAAGTTCCAATTTTTTATTGATGTAAATTAAGAAATGACATAAATTATAATTTTCGCTTATGAAAATTTTTTCCAAGAATTCAAAATGTTCTTGAAAATATTTTGGATTAATAAACTAATTGAATAAATATTTTTTTAGAATATGTTAATTGAAAATTTTTAGATGAGTTATTAAAAAAATATTAAAGTTAAAAAAAATTGTAAGTTACAAACAAAATATTGTTTTTATTTATTTATTTAAAAAAAATACAAGTTCTTTGAAAATAGTTATGGTAAACATAACTTGAAATCAATCTACTCTATGTAGACTCAACTGGAAACATGCTTATCACCCAAGCTTTGCCTAATTTTAGTTTTATAGAAATCGCAAGCAATTCTGATTCCCTTTTTAATCATATTAATTTGCACACTTTTTGGATATTGATAAATTAAAAATATAAGCACTAGTATTGGTAATATTCTAGAGCATTTAATATTTTATTTGAGATGATAATGAATCTAATATAATTATTAAATTTTTTAAAAAAAGCAGTGTGAAAATAAATGTGTTGTTACATAATCTTGTTTATCTATTCTTTTTATTTTAAGCACATTTAAAGATGATCCACTTTGGATGACTACTTATCTATATTAGATGTTACAGAAAAATACACAGTAATACAGTTATAAAACCCTGGCAGCATTACTGCAGCGCCAGCTGTGAAAATTGTCTTTTTCTATCATTATTATTATTACAGTTGAGTGTCATTTTTTATTATTATATTAAATAATTAAAATGAAAGCAACTAAAAATTAAGAAATAAGGTGTTAAAGCAAATTTGCAATGGTATCAGGCAGAATCGTCATTTTTATGATCATTTTTATTAACAGTCAGTCAATATTTTTACTAAATGGTTTAACTAAAACATAAAGTTTGCCAATTATCACAAAAAAGCAACACAGAGCTTATAAGTTTGATATCTTTACCTAATATAATTATTGAATATTAATATAATTATAACTATCTAATATATTTATCATAAATAATGAAAAGTTAAATAAAGTTGAAGTAATCAAACAAGAAAAAGAAGAAAAATATTTATGAGAAGAAAGATCAAACACCGAACTTTTATAAATTTGTTGTAAAATAAACACTTGGTTTTGAGCAAATTACACATCTTTGTCACTGCAATGGGAAAAGTACTGTTACCGCCAAAGCAATGACAAAAAGCAGTCATTATAATTAAAATCATCGAATTGCAGTGATTAATCAAACAAATTATATAAACTTTTATGGAGAGAAAAAAAAATCTAGATAATTACATATAACATCAAATGCTTCTTTTCAGCAGAAGAGGGAACCATAATGGTAAACCATAACTTAGCAGATCCTAAACAACTTCACAAAATGTTTTACTTGTTTATAGAAACTCATCAGTTCTTTTGTAAGTCTAGCAATATAAAGAATAAGTCACCCTCCCCCCTCCCACTTAATAAAACAGTGAAGTAGCTATGGAATTTCTCTTAATGACTAATGATACCTCCTTTTTTGTGTGCAAGGTTGCCAACTTCTATGTTCTTTGCAAAATATTTTATAGAATGCTAAACAATTAAAAACTAAGACTTTTAGAATTTTTGCTAATTTTGACAACATTTTAAAAGTCTCACCACAAGAGAACAGGAACAAAGCGGCATTGCATATGAATTTTAGAAAAATTTACATATAGTGTTGTGAAGAATAGCTTTAAATCAAATTTTAAAAAAGAGACATACATTAAAACATAAACTTAGCTACTACAGTAACAAAAAAATTCCAAAAAAATCATAGGCAGTCAGCAGCCCTGTGTGAGGGATACAACACTTATGATATTGATGGTAGTCAAATTTCCTTAAATGATTAAAACGGAACGTTTCCTTTATTGAACAGGTGCTTATACTTTTTTGTATTTGTATCAAATTTGTATAAAAATTTATCCTCAATGCTCATTTTTTTAATAACAAGAAAGAAATCTGGTTTCAAGGTAGAATTAAATAAAGGGTGAAAGAACGTCTTTAGGTGTTGCAAAAACTCATCCAGTTAATCTAAATAATGTTAAAAAAGGCTAATATTTTATGACATTGAGTCACCATAGCACTTTACAAATAGAGAAGATAATATAAATCCAAAGGACTAAAAATAAATTTGAAAATAACCATTTTAAGGAAAAAGTTTTGGACAATCTAGATTCTACTACTGTTAACAATTAAAAAGTTAAGTAAATATAATAAATAAAATTATTTATTTCTCAATGAATAATTAAAAATTATTCATTAGATAATGCATCAATCTAAAGAAATATTACAGAAAACAGTATGAGCTGGTAGTCGTGGATTTTTACAATATTATGATGTGTATATCTATGACATTTTCAGGTCTAATAAGCATATTACATTTCTAAATCATGCGGATAAAAATAACATATAATTTATAGCCTTACTGTTCTATCATGTAAATCATCGTCAACTTTTTTAAGTGAATATGGCAACTCAGTTGAATGAAACTCATCAATCCTCCTGTCATCTTCAAACTAAAAGAAGAAAATATAAAAACAATTGCGAAATAATTGATTTTTTAAGCTTTGACATTTTACATCAATATCATTTGCAAAAAGTTTTTTTGTGTGTCTATTCTTATTGAAATTAAGAGCTTTATTTGAACAGTTGTCTAACTTCTATTAAAAATATGGAATTATCCTCATATTCATAATCATAGAAGTCATTTCTGTCTATTTTAAAGCTAGTATAACTCAAACCTATTTCTGTTGTTAAACAAAATACACCTCAAATCAGGAAAGATAGGAAAAACAATACATCCATGACCGCAAAATAATTAAAACAGGAATTGCCCTATTATTCAAATAAGGCCTTCCTATAAAAATCTGAGATTCCTAAACTTAATATCACCCACTTGCTATTTGCAGATGCGCACACATTGTTTTTTGTACTTATGTTGCCATTTACTCATTTATAAAGATTGAAAGAAATTTTACTTACCACAATAATTTTACCATCAATAAGAAGAAAAACAGGCAGCAAAAATATAACGCAAAAGGTAGTTTTTATTAGTCTACACATAGTGAATTCCACATTTGTATTCCTAAGACAAAGATAAATATAAATAAATGCAAAAAATAAAAATAATGGATAAAAAAAATAATACAGTACAGAACCCGTTATCCGGAAATCAGAAAACCGGAACAAAATTCGATAAATTTTCATGCCATTTTTAAAAATAAAAAAAAAAATTTTCCTCATAAGATTTCAAGATTTTTCTTTCTTTTTTGAAAGATGTTTACCTTACCATCATTTCGGAAACAATCATTAGTGTATTACTTCATCGTTTGTTCTTCTTTTTAAGATTATTTCCAAATATATTTTTATTTAGTTGAGTTTGACAACAAAAAAAAACAGCTTTTTGTAGCGATTCAGAAAACCGGAAAAATCAGTTATCCGGAATAGCGATGGTCCTGATCGTTCCGGATAATCGGTTCCCTACTGTAATTTAATTCATCATTACAACAAAGAGACTGATCATGTACACAAACTTTAAATGTTCAGTTGTTATTAATACTTAGAAAAATACTGCCACTCCTAAAATTTAGTCGATTTTTATTCGAAATACAATTATAGAATAGTAAAAAGAAAATAATGATAATAAATAATATATCCCCGGTATTATATTAACAAAATATTACTATCATAATCTGCAATAACAAAAATGCTAAAGAGAAAAATACTTGCAGCTAAACATTTAATTGAAAATTAATACCATGTTATGATACTGATAATAAAACAAGTAACTAAATTAAAATACTCATAAACAACAGACTATCTAGCTACATATATTCTTAGTAGCAGAAACCTTCCAGCAAGGCATAGTAGATTATTTTCCATTTAAGTTTTCTTTTTATTCATAAAAAAATTAATAAAAGGAATTAATAAAAAAACAAATAAATTTGTTGATACTCATTTTTAAAAAATCTCCAAAAAACTAAAAAAAAAAACTCCACCTTCTGGAGTTTTTTATTTTTAGTTACAGACTTAATTACAAAAGGAATTACTACAATCTAGTCATTATTCTACAAAATTCAACTAAAATAATATAAAATTTTTATGTGAAATTTTTCAGGACTTTATATTTTCTACAACTATTTATATTTGCTACAATATGTATTTTTAGGTATAGCTGAATTTATACAATAGTAATCTCATATTATGTTGAGGTCTTGGAAAAAAATTTTTAGTTTTGCAGATTTAGTTCATATATTCTGCATATATTTTAAATATATAAGGTTTTTCTCTTTCGTCAGGGATTTTCTGAAGCCGATTTTCATCTTTAAATGATAATGTCGACTTTTTCTTTAAAAAATCAATTTCTAGATTAGTAGTAGAAAATTATTGTCACTTAATAAATCGTTGAAACTGCAAAAATGATATTTAGTGAAATTTTTTAACTGTTTTTATTTTACTTAAGCGTTTGACAATAATACAATTAAACAAAACATTATTGTAATATCTACGGATGTAATTCAATGAAACGAAGTTCTAATTCAAAATTTAGAATGAATTCTTAATAAATAATGTTCACCGAACTTAATAAATAATAAATAATGTTCACCGAAAAATAAAATAATACATATTAGCACACGAAACTTTTTTAGGAAATTATAATCTATCACATGAGAATAAACAAAAACAACAAAAAAACTAACTGGTTTTAAAAATTTGTCAATTTAGTTCAGTTATAAGCATGAGATACACAGATAAAAAAAACAATAGCAAAACTAAACAAAATACCCCAAAGTAAGGAATCATTGAGCTGATCAAAGAACTTATCCAGTTAAACGTAACTTCAAATTTTGACAAGCAAATAGGTAAACACTAATAATAAACATTACCATGTGATTGAGCTCTTATTGCCAACCTGAAGATGTAAAATGCGTAGTTAATATTGAAGTTTTGCTAAAATCAACCATGCAAAAACAAGTAGTTGAGAGCTATCTTATTTTTTAACAAAAAGAACTCGTCATCTCCTGTCATCCAATCGAATTTGAGATCGTTGGTTTACGTAACCTTCCAATAACAAAAACAAAAAATAAATAAGTCAATCGTATTGTTTTTAAGGTGTTGGTTAATTTTGTTATTATTTAGTGTTCGTCTAATGTTTTTAGTATTTTTGTTACAAATTAAAGTATGAGGGGTCATAATTATTCATCGCTGTCAGAAGTTTCTAACTTATTGACAAAAAGTTGTATTCATGTAGAATATAAAGATGTCATTACGGATCCTAAAGAATACGATATTGATGAAAACATGTGCGACTATGATGATTTCGAAGAAGTAATAATAAATTTTTATCCAGGTTTTCTTCTTCTATAGTAAAAATACTTAACTGTGCTAAAATGATTTGGTATGCCTCGAATTTTGGGACAGATTTAGATTGCGTTGTTTCTTTAATAATAACAAAGGCCGGACAGCATTATCTGGCAGTCGCTTAAACAATTCTTCCTCATTATAGTACTATAAAAAATTAAAAATGCACTCCCAATATTTGTTTTGATACGACATTTTAAGATAGAAACTTGTTTAGGCAGGTTTCTATCCATTTACTTTAACAACAGCTGTTGATACAACTGAGTTCAATTAATATTTAAGTCTTTATTACTGAATTAATGTATCAAATAAAAAAAAGTATCCTGGCAAATAGCAATTTCTTCTATAAAGTTTTTTTATTGTTAAGCCAAAATATATTTTTTTTAAAGTATATTCTGTTGTACATAATTAGGTAGCAATATGCAAGCTTTATTACAAACATGCACCTCTGAACCTAAAAAATTTTTTAAAAATATGTATAGGTTTGTTAGGATAGCTATGAGCTACCTTTGAAGTTGGATTATCTTTCTTGCTGGCCAACCCAGGGATTGAAAAAGTGGTCCTAGCTTAAAAAATCTGTCCCAGTTTTTTCAGCCACTTTTTTTTTCCCAATGTGTTTTGTTTTTTTTTTTAATTCACTATTCTAGAGCACTAGTTTTGGGGATATTTCGTATCGTGATCTGTCACGCCAACTACAATCGCCAAAGTGCCAAATATATTTTAAACATGTACATTTTTTAAAAAAAAGCTGTAGATGTTTGCCCGAGGGTGGCAACGATTTATACCTTTTGAGTTGGTCCCTTTCTGTGATGTTTTTTTTAGTTTCTTGCGGGCCACTGCCCGGAAGTTAACAAAACTTGGCGATAATTGTACCACAGATCACGATGCGGAAATCTCTTAGTTTTTACCTTAAAAGCAAAATAATTATAATTTATTTTAATTTAAGGAAAAACTTTTTAACAGTTAAAGATAAATTGAGTTAATTTGAGATTTTTGATTATAATTGAGTATGATTATAATTTGATATAATTAAAGAGTTAATTTGATATACATGAAATGGAATGTATTCAACTGGCTCTGAGAGCATACAAACATGCTTTAGTTGGGATGGCTGACTGAATAATATAATTGTATAAACACTGGGGTTAAGGGTTCCTTAATTTTTTACAGGGTTGGCAGGTTTTTGACATGTGACAGTTTTTGACAGTTTAAACCATGGTTTAAACCGTCACGTCAAAAACCTCACTGTCAAAAATGTCGAAAATGTCAAAAACCTATATTCATATGTGAAATTTAATTAATACATAAAATTTATATATTTTTTATAAAGGATAGTGTTTCTAAATATGTTCTAGAAAAAATAAATTTAAAATTTTGAAGAAACACTTATATTTTGAATAGTAACCAAAATCTTGTACTTTTGAAAGCTCACATCTTTTGTAATATTATGTATTCATTTTCATGTGTTATTGAAAATCTGCAGTGATATTATTAAGAAATTTATTTATAACCAAATTTAGTGTATAGTATAGATTATACTAAAAATTAGACATTTTTAAAGATAAACATTAGCAGTTTTGTACATTAGACATCTTTTAAAGAAAAATCTTTTTAATATTCTTTTAAATCTTCTTAATAATCTTTTTAACATAAGACAATACAAATTTAAGTGCTTTCTGTTAAATACACAGAGTAGTTAGTGTCGATTTACAGTATATTCAGCCTATTCATTTACTATGCTGAAAATTTAGTTTATCCAAATACTTGTGAATTTCATTTTGCTGAATACTATATACATAGTTTTGTTGAATATCTAAATATTCAGCTGTTGAATAATTACTTCTTGCTTTCAAGATATGCATTATTTGTATTCTTAATACAAGTGGGGGAAAAAATTAAGAGGTAAAAATTGTTTTAAAATGATAAGTGTAATAATTATAAATAAATATAATAAACAATATGAATTATATTTATCATTATTCACAAATATAACTACTTTTAAATTCAAATTAACATACTGGATAATAAAGATATTCGGTATAACATTAAAAAATTTTTTTTATACACTTGTATCAAGTTTGTATTTATACAACATAACTTGTAAGTTCCTTATAAATATTAGTTATATGTTCCTTATATGTCAAAAATGCATAGTAATAAACTTTTAATTTTCTTAAGTATCAAAAAGAAAAAAAAATTTTTTAAATATAAATATTTAAACAATTTTTGTGCAAAATTTTTCTGCACATGCATTTGAATATAAATTTCTGAGATTTTAAATCTGTTATTTTACCTTAATTTTAATTAAAAAATATTTTAAAACCTGCTGATTACCTATAGTATAATTAAATTTCAATATAATGCATGGCAACTGTTGGTAGTTTTGAAGTTTATATATTTTCTTGGCAAACTTCAGTTTTTGACATTTTTGACGGGTTTTTGACGGTTTAAACCAGTATTATACCCTTGTCATGTCAAAAACCACTTTTTGACGTCAAAAACCCAACCCTGATTTTTTAATTTATGAAAAATTATTACCATGTTTATATTAATCAAATTATCAACATTTTATCATTAGTGCTTAACTTTTGGTATATTAATTTGCGTTTTTCGAATGTATATTCATATAGCAGTGATTTAAATTATAATTTAATCAATTTACTTGAAAAAAATTTTAAGTTTTAAGCAAGTTCTAAGTTATGATATATAAATTAAGTTAGTCTTTTTAAATATTATGTTTTATAAAATTCCATTGCAAAAAGAATGCTTCAAATAGTTAAACAATTGAACTCAATAATACTCAATATTAGATTTTCAATAAAAATTCTTTTTTTTTAAGCTTCGTATTACTAAATTTTATTTTTGGTCATGGAATGACCCCAAGCGATTTAACATTTGTTCTAGAGGTGTGCGTCTTCCTGGGTTGAGAGAAGGGGTAACTCGACGGCTGAAACATATTATTCAATGCTGGTATGCAGTGATTACTTAGGAGAATGCATTAACTCAACTGCAGAATCATATTATTAGAAGCAGGAGGTTATGTTATAATTACTTAGGAGAAGGCAAACTGTCTAAAACAAGTTCAATTTGTGGATTCACTCAACTTGAATTTTAAAATTGGAAGAATTTGAAATTTTTTTATTATTGCAAAATATTATATCGCTATATTTTTTATATGATTTTTTAAGTTTGCCCAATACCAGAATTAACAGTATGAATCTGCAGCACTATCATTGAAAAATTCAAATTTGTCTGTGATTTCAACGTGGTCAGATGGAGATTAATATGGTAAAAATTAAGTGTAATCCAACATATATATTTCACACAAATTTCAAATATTGAATATGAAGTTATACACAAAAACTTTGTTGTTTGACTTTTATTTGAATTTTATGCAATCATATTTCAGTTTTGCGCACAAGAAGAGTACTTATACTGAGCCTAATGAAGAAATGAAAAAGTGAAGTTTAACTTGCAAAGATAATAAAATTAAAATAAAATCTTTTCATTTTAACAAGAGAAATTTACAGAATTGTAATTTATGGTGTTCAGATTTGTTCCTATTTAAAGTTTCTTCAAATGAAATTTTGTACCTTAACGTAACAGTTTATTTGCAGACAAATAAAACAACCAGAGAAATGAACTATAAATGGGTTTTTTTCAGTATAAAATTTTTTTTTAAAAAGAAATCTATTCCTTATTTAAGATTTTTTTTAAATAAAATATTTTCTTTTTCATTTTATCTTTAATTTTTTCTGCTAGTAATTTTTTATTTTCTTTTTAAAAAAAATCTGAGGTGAAAATAGTTTGCTGGTGCTGTAATAATCTACAGTGCCCACTGCTGTACTTGAAGGTTTCTGCTACCAGGCTAATTTGTATCACTTTCTCTATCAAAGTTTTGTGTTTTAGAACAACATATCTGAAACTACTTCTAACATATTTATCTTTACCCTGTATCACTAAAACCCTAGGCAGGCCCTACAAAAGTAAAATATCTCATAAAGTGGAAAATTTTTCAGTTTTTGTGATTTCTATCTCTTTTATGTTAAAAATGTGAATGACCTCTAACTCTATTCTTTACTGTGTAAGCTTTAATATAAGAAACAGTCATACTTAACAATAGAAAAAAAGTAAAAATTTATATTTGTGAGAGCTGTGTGTTACTTTGTTATTCTAGCAAATTATATTTTAAAATTCAATTATTACTTTTTTCTAAAGGTTTTTGCTGATCATTTACTTATGGGAAAAAGATTACGAAAAACTCTCTATGCTGGAAATTTGAGTGATTTAGATGAGCCTCCTGATCATCCTCCTATTGCACTAACAGGTTAATTGCACTTTAATTCTTTTTTTTTTTTAACTTAAGTAAACTAGAATTATGATCATACTTTAAGCATAGCTTACTTTTGAATTTTTTTAAGGATAATTCTTTTGCCATATCTCAGTTAATCTCTTTAACTAACAACCTTGAACTATATTCAAGGTGCAATTTGGTTGATTTCCAGCTGGAAAGAAGATCAAAACTATTCTTGTTATTAAATTTGAATAGAGAAGCTTTCTTATTCAGCTTAATACTGAACTGGAAGGAAAAAAATTTTTTAATCTGTTTAATGTTAACCTATCTTTAATTAGAAAATGTTTCAACACATCAGTGGCAGGGTTGGGTTTTTGACGTCAAAAAGTGGTTTTTGACATGACAAGGGTATAATACTGGTTTAAACCGTCAAAAACCCGTCAAAAATGTCAAAAACTGAAGTTTGCCAAGAAAATATATAAACTTCAAAACTACCAACAGTTGCCATGCATTATATTGAAATTTAATTATACTATAGGTAATCAGCAGGTTTTAAAATATTTTTTAATTAAAATTAAGGTAAAATAACAGATTTAAAATCTCAGAAATTTATATTCAAATGCATGTGCAGAAAAATTTTGCACAAAAATTGTTTAAATATTTATATTTAAAAAATTTTTTTTTTCTTTTTGATACTTAAGAAAATTAAAAGTTTATTACTATGCATTTTTGACATATAAGGAACATATAACTAATATTTATAAGGAACTTACAAGTTATGTTGTATAAATACAAACTTGATATAAGATACAAGTGTATAAAAATTTTTTTTTAATGTTATACCGAATATCTTTATTATCCAGTATGTTAATTTGAATTTAAAAGTAGTTATATTTATGAATAATGATAAATATAATTCATATTGTTTATTATATTTATTTATAATTATTACACTTATCATTTTAAAACAATTTTTATCTCTTAATTTTTTTTTCTCCACTTGTATTAAGAATACAAATAATGCATATCTTGAAAGCAAGAAGTAATTATTCAACAGCTGAATATTTAGATATTCAACAAAACTATATAGTATTCAGCAAAATGAAATTCACAAGTATTTGGATAAACTAAATTTTCAGCATAGTAAATGAATAGGCTGAATATACTGTAAATCGACACTAACTACTCTGTGTATTTAACAGAAAGCACTTAAATTTGTATTGTCTTATGTTAAAAAGATTATTAAGAAGATTTAAAAGAATATTAAAAAGATTTTTCTTTAAAAGATGTCTAATGTACAAAACTGCTAATGTTTATCTTTAAAAATGTCTAATTTTTAGTATAATCTATACTATACACTAAATTTGGTTATAAATAAATTTCTTAATAATATCACTGCAGATTTTCAATAACACATGAAAATGAATACATAATATTACAAAAGATGTGAGCTTTCAAAAGTACAAGATTTTGGTTACTATTCAAAATATAAGTGTTTCTTCAAAATTTTAAATTTATTTTTTCTAGAACATATTTAGAAACACTATCCTTTATAAAAAATATATAAATTTTATGTATTAATTAAATTTCACATATGAATATAGGTTTTTGACATTTTCGACATTTTTGACAGTGAGGTTTTTGACGTGACGGTTTAAACCATGGTTTAAACTGTCAAAAACTGTCACATGTCAAAAACCTGCCAACCCTGATCAGTGGGTAAATTTATAGTCACTCTTTAAAATAGTGCAGTATACTTTACATCTGAGATTTAACTTTTTCAAAAAATTGTGGTCTAAAATAGCTTTAATTTTGATTTTTAAAAAAATGACCAAAATAGTAATAATCGATGTTTAAGAAAATTCATTTACTTCAGAAAAATATGATTGGAAGAATCTTTTATTTTTATAAATTTTATAGTTTTTGCTTTAATCACTCTTTGAAATTATGGCATATAGTTCACATCTGAGTTCAAGGGTTAATTCAGGTTTTATTTTTGTAAAAATTTACTACCATATTTTATGTTTAATATCAAAAATATTTCAAACAAGTAATAAAATAGTAAAAAAATTTCCTTTTTGTATCTTATGCAATGCTTAGTTAATAAGGAGTACTTATTTTTTATCATGCCAACCATGCCAGAAACAAATAGCTTGAAATTTATTAATTCGAAAAATAAAGTCATCTACAAAAAAATAAAGTTTGTATAATAAATATTTTAAAAAAAATTAAAAACATTCCTAATTTCAATTATTTTGGGTTCATTAAAATTAATCAATACTTAAAAAGAATTTTTTTTAAAAAAAAATTAACTAATTACTTGTTAGACTAAATAAAGTTAGTGATTAAGTTTAAAACGCTCTAAATTTCTCAGAAAATACAAAATTCTGTATAAAATAAAGTTAGTTTACAATCCAAACTGTTTTAAAAGCTGAAATATATTTTTAAAGAAATAGTTTTTGATAATTAAAAAGGTTACCTTAATTGTTATGATATAACAGATACTTAAAATATTTATTTCAAAAGTTTGCATCTAAATTTTCTAATCTTTTGCTATAAATAGTTTATACTTGCTTGATTCTTTCTAACTTTTGAGAAGATACTAAAAAAGAGACAGTGTATTAACCTTTTGCTCACAACACTTTACATGATAATATTTGTTATTCTGGTTCATTAATTAAGCAAAGGGTTAAGCAATCCATCTGTTAAGCAAAATGATAAAAAAAAGATTATTAAACATTAAATTTTAGTAACATCGTAATTTATACATTTTTATCATGCTACCATTAAAATCACAACGAAAATGTTACTTGTTTAAAAAAACAAAATCCCTTTCCTTTTATTAAAAGGCAATCATGTCACAAATGGATAGAAAGATACTGATAATTATTTGAATATTTAATTTTTTTTTCTTTAAATTTGTTTGAATATCTTCTTTAAACCGACTTAACAATTATAAAGCTTCCTTTAGGTAGATTTTTGTTAGCATGTAGTAGTTGTCTAAACTAAATAAATGGGTTAATCTTTTTGAGTATGTCCTGTATTTATCCATTGGGACTAATAGATACAGCCTATTATAAAAAAAATCAGTTAACAATGTTTTCCTTATTAAGGTGAAAAGATATAACTGACTACTACAAACTTATTAGAAATAGTTTTTTTTTTTTTTGTTGTTCAATTTAAAATATAAATTTAGCATGTCAACTTGAGATAAAAGAAAAGCCAAAGTATGAAAATTGCAAATATGTGAATCTAAGTCCATTTGGATTACAATTGGTCAATAATCAGCCTAAATGTTATAAGTAAGGACTTTTTTGACCTTTTCCTCTTAATTTATGAAGTGAATTAGTTGGTAAATACACATTACAAAATTAAAGCCCTTTTTAGTTTATTGTTTGCTGTAAATAATATTAAAGAAAAATATGTTGAATATATGAGAATAGATTCTTAAAATAATAAAAAAATTTAATTCAATTTTTTTAGTTTTTAAAATATGAAAATTTAGGGTTTTAGGATAAGTTATCAGAACAGCATTATGTTTTTCAATACATATACTAAAACTTCCATGATTATTTTAGGTTTGGCATTAGAATTGTTTACAAAAGCTGTACCAAACGACGGTCTGGATATTTTGGACATGGACTATGTTTCTTGTGCCTCAGAGTAAGTTTTTTAACTTTTTGTGCTTGCAATTTAAGTTGATAGATTTTTTAAATTTTGCTTATCCTAATTCTATAAATCCTTTAAACATTAGCTCTAGCTTTTGAGCTTTAAGCTGGTGGGTTTCTTACATTGAAAAAAAAAATTTTTTTTTCTTATATTTTTCAAAGGAAAATAGTAGATAGAAAGCAAAATTCAATTCAATTTTCCTGAGAGTTATGTTTTGAAGGTTAAATACTTCACCTTGTACAAAGATAAAGGTGGTAAAATGAATTATTATGTTGTACAGTTAATTTGACATAGATATGTGTCCTTTTTTATGATTCATAATTGGCATTATTTTATTAAACAAAATGCCACATGCAATTTACACTTAAGCCATCAGTAAATGTACTTTCTAATATTTTTAATCAATACAATTAAAATCATTTATTACAGAGTACACATTTAAATGTTTAGCTGTCATTGGTTGAGAGAGTTTAATCTAGTGAGACAACATAGCCAATACAAAAAAAGACAGTTATGATTTTTTGACTGCCTAAAACATCTGAGAACAGCACTTCTGTTGCCATACACCTGATTAAAAAAGTTTTAAATGTTAGTGAAGATTTGGATAGATTTTCCACTCAATAAAAAGCAATTAAAAACTACTTTTTTGACCTTGTGAGACCATGGCAACTTTTTTTCAGAAAAAAAAAGTATTCAATAGCAACTATTCTTTTGAAAAATTGATACTTATTTCAGTCTTAGTGAACTATTACCTCATATATTTTGGTATATTATGTAATAAGCGATAGATTTTTTGGTGCTTTTCTTTTTTTCACAAATGTTTTTATGCTTTTATTCATTTAACCAAATGAGTAAAGAAAATGGAAGTAAAAAAGTGACAGGAAGAAAGAAAAGAGTACTTTCCTCATAGAGTTCCCACAATATAATCGGTCTCAGCTTGCAAGATTTTTTGTTATGTTGATTACCTTCCACAGCAGAAATGCATCATAATTGGTGGGATGTCTTGCTAATAAGCTTCATTTTTGTACAACAGATTAATTCAATTTCACACTATGTATAATGTTTCATTGATCTTTAAATTCGTTACATGACCTTTTTAACCCCAGGGATGAGATTTTTCCGCTTTTTAGAGGATTTCCGCTTTTTTTCAATCTCTTAAATTTCAGCTTTTTTATCAAAAATTCAGATTTTCTAAAAATTTCATTTTTTTTTTTTTTTGTAAGTATTCCGCTTTTTCAGAAAATTCACCGATTTTCGAAGAGAAACAGAAAATTCAAACTACATAGCTACCAATCCTTTCTCATTTTTACTTATTTTACCTATTATCTCCCCTTTTACGTGCAGCATATAAGATTTTCCGAATTTTTTACCCGCCCTCCAGATAGATCCGATTTTCATAGTTCAAACGACGCTGCTTCTGACAAGCCTTTTAGAGGTCCCAAGCCTGGAATCTGCTAATATCTCGATTCTTATTCACACGATTTTAATATCAAACATAGCTTTTCATATTTGCGTGTTGCGATTCTTATTCACGCGATTTGAATATTGTACGTTGCGATTCTTATTTACGAGATTTAAAAATCCGATATTGTGATTCGTATTTACGTCTTTTTAAAAACCTATGTAGCGATTCGTATTCACGCAAGTTTAAAATTCAATGTGTTGATTTGCTCATGCGGTTTATAATATCAAACATTGATTTTCGTATTTATACGTGATTTTAAAATAAGGCATTGGGATTCGCATTCACGCATTCTAAAAGTTATGCATCATAATTCTTATTTATGCAATCTAAAAATTACGCATCATGATTCGTATTTACGCGATCTAAAAATTATGAATCGTGATTTGTATTTACGCGTTTTAAAAATTCTATATCCCAGTTTGTATTTTCTCATTTTCAAAATCGTATATCTAGTTTCATATTCATGTGATTTCAAAATCCATAATTGTTATTCATATTCACGCAATTTTAAGATCAACTATCGCGATTCTTGTAAGAAGTAAATTTTTTTTAAAAATTAGTTACTATAAAAGTGACTGTTTTTCTAACGACGATTATTAGTATGTATATGTAAGTGTTACAACATCAGAGAAACTGGAAGGGAATATATTCAAAACTTACATTCTGTGCTTGCAAAGAAGAAAAAATAGGATTTGTCACAAGATGTTTGAAGATGGACTAACGACTAAATATAGCAAACATAAAAGATATAGCAAACAAAAGCAATCACTTAAAAAGGGATTTAATTTAATTTTTTTTTTTTTTTTTGGAAAAAGAGTTAATTAACTCATCATCAAAATTTTATTTATAATTGCTGTTATTTATGCTATAAAATGCAAAATTCTTATCAAATAAAAAACAATTATCTAAACAGTTGCTGATTGTCATGTAATTTTTCAAACTAAAATAGCAATTTTTGTATGTTAAGGAGTTACTATATATTTCTACTTCACTGTTATTGATATGTTTCAGAGGGCTGTAGTTAGATTAGACTATAATATGAACATAATGATTCGGTCCATTGTTAAAGTTTTTTTTTCCAATATAATTTAAAAAGTAATATTACTGATATATTTGCTATAAATCACATAACAGTATTTATTAAAAGAAATGAAATATTAATGTATATTCTCAGTAGTTTTAATTTGCTAAACCAGGTAGTTTTTCAAGTAATAATTGTCTCTTATGTGAACTGAGGAAAAATATAATTTCCAGCTTTATTTTTTCAATTGGTAATTTTTATTTTCACTAAATGTTAAGTATCAATGTAATCATTTATATAATAATAGATTAGTACACAATTGTATGTCAACACATTATTTATTACCTTAAACTGTCTGGAATTTATTATTAAAGAGTTGCGCTTGCGTAAAATTTACTATCGTGGAAATTCAGCTTTTTTGCGTTTTGGCTAATCTCATCCCTGTAACCCTCAATTCTCAACTATATGTTATTTTATTAATAGGAAGATTGATATTTTTATTATTTCTATTTAGCTTTATTCGTGTAATTTTTATAGTTTATGGGCATGATTCAGGGGCGGATTAAGCGTACGGAGGCCCTAGGCCATTCAAATTTTTGGGGCCCTTAGATTACATTTTTTTCTCGTATTTTTTTTAGTTATTCAAATATAAAATTATTTATATATCTTTTCATTTAAGAAAGCATATTTAAAATTAAAATAAATAATAATAATTTAAATTTTACTTTATTTTGTTAAATTAGAACTAAAAAAATTATTGTATTTTATTAATATATATTTGAAATTGATTTTTTTTTTTTAAATCATTGTTTTTCTTAATTTTTTTAAATTTATTTTCAAAAAATTTTTTTTAAAGTCTGACCTAATGGGTAATCTGCCCCTGGCATGATTTAATGCCTCAGACTTGTGTTTATTCTCCTCAAATTATGATTTGCACATCACAACGCACTTTGGGATGTATCATCTGCGTGATTTTCGAGTACCACATCAACCAAACTTTGTATACGAGTAATGCAGTGTGATTCACATACCCGCGATTTAAACATCACATCTCGATTCATATTCACATAAATAAGGAAGATGTATGAAAGAGAAGGTGCATAAGTGAATGGTTATTGTAACTTTAAAAATACAAAATGTGAAAGATTTCCCTACCTAATAAGATTTTAAACCAATTGAGATTTAAAAACAAAATATTCTGATTTGTATTTATGTGTTTTAAGCAGCAAATATTGCGATTTGTATTTACGCGATCTAAAAATCAAAAATTACTATTAATTTACGCACTATTTTAAAGTAACATCATGGTTCATATTCACGAATTTAAAAAGCCAAATATCATGATACGCGTTTCACTTGATATCTAAGCGTTGATGAGCAAAAAAAATGGATTTTGTCTCTGGTCTATTCATAATTCAAACCGAATTTGTTACATAAATTTGGTATTAATACAAACAATTAAAAAAATAATAATTTTAAATTTTCCTGAAACAATATATTTTTATTTTATTTTTTTTATTACTCAAAGATAATCCAAATCTGTGCGAAAAATCTATATCAATATTAGCAATATTGTTAAAAAATGTAGGTATTTTTATTTCTTAATTTAATATGGTTTATAATATTGATTTTTATTTAAGCTTTAAAATGTGAACATGAAAATTTCGTAAAATAGGACAATAAAGAAGTACATAAATTTTATATTTGTGAAATTAAAATGTATAATTTTTTAAATACAAAAAATGAAAGCTATCAATAATTAAGCCCTCTATGTGTACTTTTTTCTTACTAAGATTTTCATCAGGATTAAAATGCTTTACCTATTTCTTCGGTAAAATTGGGCATGGAAAAAATTGAAAATAACCAATATAATTGTTTAGCAAAGCTTTATTTAAAAAAAAAAAGAAAAAAAAACCTTATAAATGGAGATGCATGTTAAAATGTTCATTAATTTTTTTCCTGACCTCCTAATCAGATATTAAAAATTTTTGAAGTTGCTTACAACTTAATCATATTTAATTTTATATCATTAATCTTAATTTTGAATCTTGATCAATTATTTATTTTAATCACATTTAGCAGGGGTCTGTCCATACCGAATTTACTACCGTTTAGCGTAGGGGTGCACAACCTTTTTGAGTGAAGGGCCACTTGCACAGCAGGGTGGCTAACGAAGGGTCGCACATGTATTTAGACATGTTAATGACAAATGTAATAATGTAAACATTAGCGTTCCATTTTTTTATCAATAAACTTAGTAATATCAATAACTTAGTGGTGTTCCATTATTAAAATTCATTCAAAAATAAAAAATTTTGATAAATTTTTTTTTTACAAAAAAAAAAACAAAAAAACCAATTTTTATCATATTAACAATAGATTTATCAAAATAAATAAACATTGAAGAAAAGAAATACTTTTTTTTATCATATCATGCAATATGAAAACTCTTTTTAGAATTAAATTCTAATAAATTAACAAAAACTGCAATGCCCACAGAATGAAAGTAGGAAAAAGTTTAGTCGTAATTAAGTAATATAAATTAATTCAAATTAAATATTTTAATTGAAGAAAATTTATAGGTTTTAAACAAAACTGTGATAGTTCAAAATAAAATTCAATGCTTATTTTGTAATGTACTTTATTATTTTATTTTATTAATTATTAGATTTTTTATAACGTAAACATTTTCCTTTTTTTATCGAAAAAGATCACTTAAGCAACAAAAAATTGAAATCTAAACTACAGACAGTGAGCAGTTTAAAAATTCATGTTTTCCGCCATTTTATGAATTTTTCCAGTTGCAATAACATTGCATTTAAATTAGGGAGGGATGTAACGAGTATTTGGCCCTTCTGCGAAAAATTCAGTTGGTTGAATGATCAGTCGAATATTTGGCAGAATATTTTTTAGAAATGTATTTTTCTAAGTTTCTTTGAATTTTTATAGATATAACTTTTTTTTTTTAAATTATAATCAGACAAGTCAATTTTGTCATTTTTTCGATACTTTGAGAATTGAGAAGGATCCATTTTTTGCAGTTTTTATTATAACCCAGCATTTTAACAGAACGTCTCATACTATTAATTTATTATCACTCTTTCCCTGCACTGTAATATAAATAACCAGTAACATAGAAAAGTATGATTTTCAGTATTAAAGTTTTGTTTCAGGAACTAAGAATAATTTGTTTCTTCTGTTTTTCTTTTTTTAGGCACTTTTATTATGACTCAGCATTTTTTTTAAAAATAAAGTTACAAATAAAATTTATTTTATAGCAATTTTTTTTCTTTTAAAATTATAGCTATGAGAAAAATTTAAATTGAGATTTTCGGCATAAGATTTTCACTTAAAAAATTAAGAACATTTTTTAAATCTTTTTATTTTCTTTAAATAAATAAGAAAAACTTTTTTTAGACGTTTTCATTAAAACGCAGTAGTTTTTAATAGCATTTCTGTTGACTTAATTCTTTTTTCTTGGCTTTTTCTGGTAATTGAAAAACTGAGATGTTCAGCTTTAAAAAAAAATTTCAAAAATTAAGATTGATTTTTATGTTCTCTGTTTCGCTTTTCGACATTTTCAAAAACGTTCTTGATTGGCCTTATTTTTTAGAATTATTTTATGAATACGTTTTTCCAGGAAATACTATTCTGAGCATTGAAATTTTAGTTTCAATGTTGCTATACTGCTAAAAGAATTTGCTATTTGGCCCCAAGTGTACGGCGTTCAATAGATTTTTTCTTCTTTTTTTGCCGAATATTTGGTTTTTGATCAAATCACAATTCATTACCACATTCGACCAAATCATATTCGTTGCGGAAATAAAAAGGAAAGAAAAATAACTAGGATTTACTATAAAACTGTACCATAATACCGTATCAAAAAGTGATTATTTAATTGCGTGATTAACAATCACGTGTCGTAATAACATCATAGTTAAATAACGGGATCGTCAAAATCACGAGGAAAAGTATAGAAATAATTAGGAAAATATATATTTATGCTGAACTCAGCACGAATAAAGCGCGTCAAATGCATGATTTAAAATTTGCATGTCGTAACAGAATAATTGGAATTTTTTATAATACGTGGGAACACATAGCAATAACTGCCGAGAAAAATTTTTGAAAAAAAAGAAAGAATTGCAAAAAAAAGATAAAAAAAATCACTTAGATTTAAGATGAAATCGTCACAAATAAAGTGCACAAAAAGTGATTATTTAAATTTGCGATCTGAAACTCGCGTCGTAATAAAAATTCGGAATTTTCAAGATCACGTAGAAAAGCGGAAATAACTGTTTTAAAAAAATCATTTATATTTGCGATAAATTCGGCTTCAAGAAAGCGCGTTAAACGTACATTTACTAAAGAATCTGTTAAAATTGATTGTGTCAAAACGTGATGACTTAAAAATGCGATTAAAAATTGCCATTTTTTAAAAAAAAAAAATTTATTGTGTTTAGAAGCTCTCGCGGGCCGCACTTCAGTAGTCGAAGGGCCGCATTTGGCCCGCGGGCCGCAGGTTGTGCACCCCTA